TATGTGAATTCTCAACGATTAAAAGAGTTGTGCTGGGATCTTCCTTGATTGACCAGTGACGTGGTCTTAAAGAGAGTGTCATCATCTTGAAACCACAACTACCCACTTTGGCGCACACACACACACACACACACACACATAATCATGCATAAATAAAGATTCTTCATTCTTTACCTCATTAGTGCAGAAGGTGACTCATTGGCATATATGTTCCTTCCTTATTTCCTTCATTCATTAGTTCATTTATTCAGTTTTTCGTCTACCTGTCTCAGTATCCGAAAGCAGAAGTGTCTGCAGAGGACACATTAAACCACGATCATTCACTTTCTTCCTGCATTGACACTGCTTTGGTGTGTTAGCCTATTGGGCATGCTATAGGGTGCAAAGGAGGCAGAGAACCACATTTGAACCCAGTCTTCTGTAAATATTCCTTGTTTGGTTGGATGTCACATTGAATTTTGCCCACTGCATCTCCATAAGGCCCAAACGTGAATTATCGTATCTCAAACCTCTACACTCATATGCTGTATACATTCTTGTGTTTGTATGGGGTTTTTGCAGGTGACCTGGTTTCCTCCCTGAAATGCACATTAGTTATTAGGAATATTACTCCAAATTGACCAAACCTTTGAACTGGAGCTGCTTGATACTTAATACTCTAAAGTTAAAGTATTTAAGTATATTCAAGAAAATTGATTGATTGTTGGTTTTGTAGAAATTCAGAAAATAGTAAGTAAGTATATTTAATATAGCACCTTTCACAGAGCAAGGCACAAAGTGCTTTACAGAAGTAAAATAATAAAATGATAATAATAATACAGAAACAATGATGTTAAGTAGTAATAAATAATTATCAAACAATAAAGCATAAGCAACAACCACATAAAACAGTAAAATAATCAAGCAATAAAACATAAGCAACAAACATCATAAAAAAAATGAAATAGTCAGTCAATATAACCAAGTCATTTAGTGAGAAACGCTGTCACAATTACTCAGAACCCAAAGTGACACCTGCACAATGCTGGTTTTGTTTATTATTATTAGAGGTAAATTAATTAATTAAAAGTAAAAGCAGCAAATACTCATATTTGAGAGTCATGGGTCATATGGGCTAAATGAATTTTTCAAAATAGTTTCCAATCAATTTTCTGACAATTGTTTTGTGTGTAAAATTATTTGTAAAATACCTAGTAACGGAAGCCATCATATAATTGTAGTGGAGTAAGAAGCACAAGAAAAAATTCAAATAAAGTACAGCTACTTCAATTTTGAATGTAAGTACAGTTCTTGAGTAAACATACTTTGTTGAATTCCACCATGGCTGAAGGATCAAATGCAGAGGATGCATTCAACAGGACCAGTGATTAAATTAGCTTACCCTGCAATGTCACACTGCCTTTATCTATGTCTAATCCGAGCCTCTACCATGCTCATATTCCCTATCTTGGTCTTTTCTAAAGCAGACTTTGCCACCTTTTGACCATACATCCTAAAACACTTGATCACATGTTTGACATCACAACTTCTACAGGGCTTACCATGGTCATCCTCACTTCTTGAGCTTGGCTAGCAATTCAGTGTATGTAAGCTTCTTACTTCTTACTGTTTGTGCCATAATGCCAGGTCTGATCTAAGGCTAATTCTGATTACTCACATAAGCAACTTAACACTGAAAATGTGTAAATCTAACCTTAAATACTGCTGGTCAGGCCCGGCGCCAGGATGAATTGACTGAGGGGGCAGTTAAAAATGGCGAGGGGGCAAATCTTTCTATATATATATCAATACATAGGGCCCCCACGGCGTGAAGCGCAACTCCTGTTTTGCTCGTTTGACGGCAGAAAAAAATGGTCTGTGCGCCGGGTGCATGGTTCAAAAGGGTCGTACTTAGTCTGTGAATTAGTCATGGGTGTGTAGGGCATAACATGCAATACACCAATCAGTGTCATCTCCTATTTAAAGCCAGGTGCACTTGTACTTTGGCGCACTGCCATTATAGTGTATGAGCGCATTATGAAAAACACCAGTTGACTGATTGAACTGCAGATGCACAGCAGAGAGGGGATATGGAGAGAAGTGTAGATGTGATCTCTGATCATGAAGCCTCTGTTGCTCTGCTGCTCTGTAGTTTATCAGTGAAGTGTCGGAACTCCAGTCTGTTAACAGGCAGCTGCTGTCTCCTCTATGAAACATCTGGATCCTCGCTGCTCTGCTTTAATATAAACTATGATGAACGGGTCATGGGTCACATCTCTCCCCCACACTGGTTTCTTTATTTTGTGTTTTATTGATGTAGGAGTGTTTTCTTTAACAATTTACTTTCATTATTAGATGGCTACTGTCGGTCATTTTAAACGTCATGTGCGCAATAAAGTCACAACAAATATCGTGGGGTATTTGAGCAGCAAAACAGAAAAAACCTGAAGTTCTAAACTTGACATGACAGGACAGAGGAAACTCTCCAGAGGAAACAGAATTCAACTTTTAGCTTCTGAAATTATTCAGACAGCGTTTGTGCATGTCTAGCCTGCTCTGTGCAAGTGGATCGCTGTCAGATGATGAGCTGTCAGATGATGAGCTGTCAGATGCAGAATGAATCCAAGACACATCACTGTCCTAAGCCCCCCACCATCAGCCTCTCCTTACTGAACGAGTCTGCATGCCTGTTTAGTAGAAGACTAAAGGTGTTGCCAGTAGCAACACAAAATGTTTATCTAAAGTGAATTAATAGCGTGAAATGACTGCGTTCTCTATAGATCAACTTTTACATGCTGGTGCTTATGGGAAAATGGCAGGTTTTTTTCAATCAATCTTTATCTTGACAGTGACACTTCTTAACAAAACACATAAGAAACTGTAACTGAGGGGGCAAAGCTCCATGCCAAAGCTCCATGCCCGCTGCTGGTGTTATAGCTAGTGGCAATGATCGGGGTCCAAGCAGATTGCCAGCATTTGGATGCTTGTGAAACTGTGAAAATGTAACCATGATAAATACTGTGTCACCTTGAGGTTAATGAGTGTCATTATATGTGCCTTTTGTAGTGGGTGAAATTTGGACTCCATCTGTCAGTTTTATTGTTTCTAGGTCTTACGATTTTTCCAGCACAAATACTTTTAGTAGAGAAAAATAATAATAAGAAAAAAAATAGACTTGGTAAAATCCTTAAAACAGTCAAAATGTTGGTATTAAAGCAAAAATCACACATCATTCTGCTAGTGTCGGGTATATTGCCAAATACTCAAAATAGAAAATGTGCATACAGTACTAATTACAGTAAGAGACTGAATGTCACTGCGTACTCATTGTTTGAACACCATTTGAAACATGATATGTAGTATCCAAAGAATACTAGATATCAGTTTACTGCTTGGACCCCTAAATATATATTAAAATATAAAATGTTAGTATCTACTGTATATTGCTAAATACAGTACTATTCCCCTTTAACTGGATGGGTAGCGTGGCCTCTTGATTGGTCAAGAAGGACTTGCAACATACCATCCATTTAATGCAAACATAATGAACACATTTGTACATGTAAGGTTTTACATTATCTGTGTCCATCATTAGTGGGACTTCTATTTTTTTGGTCAGACAATCAATATATACAGTATTTACATTCATAGAGATTGCCACACCAAAGCTACAATCCATAAGTTGTGTAAATGGAACTCATCACCACCACTTTCCTTTCCTACATTTTAAAATAATAACACTTAACAGTCAGGATAATGCAAGTTCCAGGTTTAGGTTGGATCAACATTAGAAAACTTTGCTGATATTTTCCTAGTTAAGATGGTGCATTTACAGTTATATCATCATATATTAATTGAATAGGAATTAGCAGGATACGTGGTTTATCAAGAGCTCATAGCTCATAGTTTTTTACAATCAATTTACAGTTACAAGTACAGGAGGTCGAGGCATTACCTCCTTGGTTTTCATTTGCCTTCTCACACCAGAGCTGATCTTCCATGAAATAGACAGTAGATCACATTTATTAAAAAGTTTGTGTGATTTATTTAAATTTTTTTTACACATACAGATTGAAATGATCAGCTATAGTCATATTTATCAGAGGATAAAATCCCAGTCAGTAGTAACTGTTAAGCGCATTCACAGGACATTCATTCATATCCTCCAAAATGGCGCTGAAAAAAAAAGTTTTACAAAATGCCAACAGAGTATTGAAGCATATTACAGAGGAGGGAAATGTTGTTACATCCTCCCCGAGAAATTTGCAAGAAGATAAACTGCAGTGACTGAAGGTCACTGGAGGAAACCAGGAATAACTGTTTTGTGCTTTCCCAAACCTCACATTGTGCCATCACTGTGGATGTGTTATTGATCATTGTTCCATATGGGGACAATGAATTTTTATGTAATAAATATGTTCACTCATTTATGCATATAATAAATTAAAATGTGAAGCCGAAAAGAGTTCTAAAAGATTTGTGTTTTTATGGTTCAGACAATACAGTATTTACATACATAAATATGTAAAGGAAAATTAAAAGAAAATGTCCTGTATTGTCATATTTTACACACTAAAGCTGCAATCCTTAATTTGTGTACTGTATATTGAACTCATTACCACCACTTTCCTCTCCTACATTTTGAGATACAAACACTAAACAGTCAGGCCAATGCGAGTTCCAGATTTAAGTTGGATCAACTGCAGAAAACTCATTTTCTCATATTTTCCTTGTTGAGATGGTGACTATAGGCACGGCACTTACAATAACAGTTATATCATTATATATAAGTTACAGAGTTGTATAGGAATTAGCAGGAGAGATTAATCAAGAGCTTGTAGTTTCTGTTTACATGGAAAAGCTTGTTTAATTATTTCAAGTACCGGAAGTAAAGGCATTATCTTTTTGGCTTTGATTACTTATTACTTATTTGCGTATCTTGTACCATGTTGGTTTATGTTACAGTTAGAAACAGTTATATTTCTTCATATTGACAAAATTCCTTATTGTTCTTTTTTCAGCCAAACAGGACAGTAAAGAGATAGAGGCTGACAGTGAGGCTTTAACTCCTTCAGAACAATCTCCAGAGGACACCTCTACCGATGCTGCTCCCTCTTCCCATTCTGTCACTGAGCCAGCCCCACCACAGAGCCACTCTCAAGAAAAAGCAAAGGAGCCATTCAGCAGTGGTGTGTCGAAGCAGCAATCTGCAGAATCAGATCCCTGCATTCTACCCAAACCAGCAAAATCTAGTCTGGCTCCAGTCATACAGTCCCCATCCACTTCAGCTCCCAGACATCATGAAACAGGGGCGCTAATGGTCACTAAGACCACATACGTTATACCAAAGAAGCAGTCTGGATCCCAGCCTTCGTCCAGCCACGTGTCAGCATCAACACCAGGCCAGAAGCCGTCTTCAGGCCCAGTGCTGCTGAGCGAAACCAGAAATCTTCCAGTGCCACCTGCACCCATTGCTCCTTCATCTAGACCATCTCAGCCCAATAACCAGGTCAGACAGAGCATCCAGCGCTCCCTCACCAGCATCCTGATCAAAAGGTGAGCACTGCTTTACAGGCTAGTATGAAAATGAAAAACATCAAACATCAAGTGATGGTATAAGGAGCCAAATTAGTGAATGCCAATTAATTTATAAGCATGTTTAAAAAATGCAATTACATGCTCAAACCTGCAGCCTCTAAAAAACATTAGATACACAATTCATTTCAGTTCTTGGTTTGTATTACTACTGTGTGTCTCTACTGACTAGATTGCATAATTGTCAGTAGTAGTTAAGTAGGTTTGAAGAAATGATGATGGAACATATTTGTGGCTTTTGCACTTTTACAAGAATGAATGTGTACAAATTGCATCTCAATCCGTTAGAGCAGTGATGCAAAACAAATTTGGTGACTAACTGCCTTTTCATTTGTCAAGGGTGTGTGATTGTGAGGATTTGGAGATGTCAGAGAGTGAAGTTGCAAAGCTGGTCGCGAGCATTGAGATGGAGATGTTCGACATATTTCGCAACACAGACAGCAAATACATGAACAAGTACAGAACCATAATGTTCAACCTGAAAGACCCAAAAAACAAGGTTTGTTCAAAGTTGATAAAAATTTCTGTTTTTTCTTTACATACATTTATACTACTTTATAATACTACTTAAATAAGGTGACAGACATGTGTATAGTGACTTTAAAAAATGTTTTTTTAGGTATTTATGTTTTTAGCAAACTGACAGTCCAGTTATGGATTCTCTCTAGGGCTTGTTGTGTCGGGTTGTACGTGGAGAGATCAGTCCCTTCAGACTGGTCAGGATGAGCCAGAAGGATATGCAGGCTACCAAGGCATCAGAGCCAAGTCCAAAAGAAACAACAGAGGTAAGGTGTAATTGAAGTTATTATCAGGCCTCAGAAGGGTCAAGCACTGTTTGCGTCAGAAGTAATTATCTTCTTGCATTGCTTGTGTATCTAGGTCAAGGACGCAGCTGCCAAAGCAGCAAATTTGCTGCACAGGCCTGAAGCAGTGAAGGTTGATTTACCCAGTTTGATTCCCTCTAGACCCGAAAGAGACATGGTGTGTACTTGCTTCATTTGCATTCAATTGGTGGAATTTGCATTTTTCATATGATCATTATATTGTCTCTCCTGTTCCATATAAAGATTTCTCATGAAAGGCCATTGATGTTGTGATATGTTTGTGGGTTAAGTCTTATTGTTTGTGTTTGTATGCGTTCCCTGGAACAGAAGAAAAGTCTTCCTGCTCCTGTTTTCAAGGCCAGAACAAGCCAGCCAAGCCAGGGCAATGCTGTACCAGATATTCTTGCCTGTATGCTTAAGGACACAACATCAGAGCACAAAGCTCATCTGTTTGACCTGAAATGCAAGATATGCACAGGTGAGTTAAGGTTTTACAATAGCCATGCAATACCTAGTAGACATTATTATTCAATGACCACTCATTGATACTTTTAGTTTTTCAAAGTAGATTCTTTTTCCTTCCAAAGGTCAAAGACTAGAAGGGGAAGAGGAGGGACCTGCAAAGAAAAAACCCAATGTTTCTGAAACAAGAGATAACTATGAACCCTCTTGGAGAAAGTCTGCAGGAGATGACTCCCCTCTGCGAGCACCACCTGATTCACCTGACATGGATTTTCCAACTTCATCCCAACTGGATCATTCATCCCGCCTTACCACTGACTGTCCATTGACTATAGTAGAATCCCCTGCTTCCCCCATAATGGATTCTCCAGCCTCCCCTACTTTAGAGTCTCCAGCTTCCCCTATCATCGAGTCCCCTGCGTCCCCAACTCCAGACACTCCTAAATGTATCACTACACGAAAGAGAGCATACACACCCGTTGTGATTCCAGCTGTCTCCACAGTAACCATCACAAGGCGTGACCCCCGCACTGCGGCAAGCAGGTTTCCTGCTTCGTATAGTGGCACCACTGGTCCCAGTAACACAACCCATAACCAATCAGCCCCTTATGCTCCTCTTAAAGAAAGTAGATCTGCCTCACCTTCACCACCGACCTCCTCACTACCACCAACGAAAACATTACCTAAATCTATCTTAATGAAGCCATCTTCCTCTGCAGATCCCAGACTCTATGGCACATCCTCAAGGTATTTAAATGACTGTGCGAGTATAAAGCGCATAGAATAGAAGTATTCTATTTTGTTCTGTTTAAGGTAGTAAACATTTGAGCAAAATCAGCGTAATGTGTGGATACGATTGTTATTGTGCTATTGTGCTTTGTGTCTCAGGACTGTGATATCTGAATCCCCAGCTGATGGAGAGACTTCTCAGTTCATAGCTAAGCAAGACATACTGTGGAAAGGCTTCCTAAACATGCTCAGTGTAGCCAAGTTTGTCACCAAGGGATATCTGGTTTCAGGATCTGCTGAAAATCTCAAAGCGGTATAGTACTGCACAGTAATAACTTTTATTCACAAAGCTGTATCCAAAAGATCTGTCATTGTCATTACTTGAATTGACAAAAATATGAACAATTTCTTTCTCCCGTGTAGGATCTGCCTGATACCATACAAATCGGAGGACGAATCATGCCTCAGACAGTGTGGGACTATGTTGCAAAATTAAAGACATCTGTTACAAAGGCAAGCAGTACATATAGTATTTCTGTATGTGTCGTGTACAATATTATTGAAAATCTATCAATATATTACATCTTTTGCTTGTTTTTTGCTTACTAGGAGTTATGTGTCATTCGGTTTCACCCTGCAACAGAGGAGGAAGAGGTGGCCTATGTCTCCCTGTTTTCCTATTTTAGCAGCAGAGGTCGTTTTGGTGTGGTTGCCAATAGCAGCCGTTCCATCAAGGATGTATACCTTGTCCCACTCAGTGCAAAGGAGACAATCCCATCCATACTACAACCTCTTGAAGGACCAGGTGTGATAATGCTAAGACTAACGCTTATAGCCTTACATAATGAACGTTTGCATTATTGGGCTAAGGGTGAGCAAAATAATTTACACCTGTAAGACTCAAAAGTAACAGCTTAAATTCAGGCTGCAATATATCATCAAAGAAATCATCTTTCATCTATTTTAATAACTTTAAAAACTACCTACTGAAAAAAAAATTGACAAATGTTATTCCCAGACCATCGCTCACTCCCATCTCTTATGAAAAAGTAATCCACTTGCTTCTATCAAATGCACCTTCATGTTTTTAAACATGTTGTTACTTTAAAATTAGGATTATTATGTTGTATATAATGTATACACTTTTTACTCTTTTTAGCTGACTACAGACTCTAGTTGGTAGAGATGTTTAACAAGAAATAGTTTAATTTAGTTATTAATTTTAATTAAATATAATTATACAGTTATAACTAATAATATCCAATATCCAATTATGAGTTTTTAGGTTCAGTTGTGGTTGTGATTTCATCTTGCATTTAATTTTTGGTGTCAACTTGTAGAACATGTACATGGAGAGCATGTAGAACGTTTGTCATGTAGAATGTTTGTCATTTTAATTATTGGTGTTTTTATTGCAATGTAAAAAGCCCTAATGAAAAGTCCTGAACCAACACCCATACATATAATTATCAAACCTTTATGACCAGAATTGTAAAGCAGTAAAGCAGCAGTTCTGCAGCAGTTCTGCTGCTTTTATGACAATTTTTCTAATAATCTTAATCATCTTTTTCTTTATTTCACAGGGCTTGAAACAAACCGGCCCAATCTTCTTCTGGGTTTGGCAATAATTCAGAAGGCAAAACGTCCAGGAAGCTTGCCCCAGGAAATTGAAGAGAAGAGACCTAAAGTTCATATGTCCAAAGACCCTATGTGGATCCCAAAACCTCCGGTCCTCTATGGTTCAGACAAATTGGAGATATTTCAACCATACGATCCAGAGACTCCTGCTAGCATCACACCCCCTGGTTCACCCTCTTGCCCTGGGTCACCATCAGAGTCTTCCTCTTCGGGCTCAGTTACCATACCATCTCTTTTGACTTCCATTAGAGCAAACCCTCCTGTTTCCACCTCAGCCGTTGTTGCTGCCACTCAGTCCACCTCTAGTAAGAATAATCTCACAACAGCATCCACTGATAAGACACCACTGCAGACCATCTTGAAGACCTTGTTCCCCAATAAGCAAACTGACTCTTCTGATGGAAATTCAACAACAACAACTGTTAGTATTAAGAAGCTTCCAGTTTTTTCTCAAGTGTCTGGGTCAATGGTGGATCCAATTGTCCAACAGTATGGACAGAAATCCAAAGTCAAACAAATAGAAGAAGAGGAAAGTGACTTTGACCGGCCATATGACCCAGAAGAGGAGTATGATCCAGCAAAGGGATATGGAATGGATGCCCCACAGAGCATAGCAAACATTAAGGCAGATAGGCCTGCAGTATCAGGCATTGTTGAAGATGATGTGGCCTATGATCCAGAGGACGAGACCATCTTCGCCGATATCCAAAGTGATGTTGTTGTAACAAAGTCCCCTGTTCCAACTCAAACAGATTCTCCATTATGCCCCCCAGTTTCCACCCAGGATGTAATGCCAGCTGCCACTTCCACTCCAGCGCAAACTTCTACCCCAGCTGGAGTAGTGGAGAACCTTCCTACAGGCACTGTGGTTGTGTCAGCTGCAACACTAACTGAACAACAGCGGATGCTCGAGGAGCTCAATAAGCAGATTGAAGAGCAAAAACGGCAGTTGAAGGAGCAGGAAGAAGCACTACGTCAACAGAGGGAGGCTGTGGGTATGTTCATGGCTCACTTTTCTGTTTCTGATTCCCTGATGTCTCCCCCACCAAAATCTTTGCCTCTCAGTCAACTGTCATCTCTGCAGAGTGGAATAATGCAAACAGAGTCGAGGCATTCAGAATCAACAGACAAGACCAGCAACCTTACAGAGACAAACACAAAAATGCAATCTGTTAAGCTAGAAGACACAACTGCCATCCCTATTTTAAAAAATGATACAGATACTGTTACAGAGCAAGATGAAACACCAAAAAATGTTGAGGAAAGTGACAAGGGTTCCTCTGCAGGAGAGATTGAAGATTCTGATGTAGCGTATGATCCAGAGGACGAATCACTTTTTAATGAAATTCAGGACGATGTATTTCAAGGAGTCAATATGAAGACTCATGATTCATCTTTGTCTAGAACAGGGCATAGTGCCTGCCACAAGGGCACTCCAAATTTGTACCACAGCAGAAAGCGAAGGTCATCGCCAAAAAAGCGGAGTCATCGTGAAAGGAACCGCCATAGAAGTCCTTCAAGAAGGTCACAGCACCGTTCTCCTTCACATTCCCAGAGACGTAGAGAAAGGGATAGACACAGAAGAAGTGAAAGGGATCGGTCGAGGCATAGAGCTAGAGCACAGTCTGACCGCCAGGGTCGCCATCGGAAAGAGCATACTGAACGCCGACATTCTCATGGGCGTAGAAGATCCCCATCAGCTCCTTTCACCCTTTCACCAAAACACCACAGAGGACCTTCTCCTCAAGTCCTTGAGAAATCAAAAAGTGCAAGTGTTCTGTGTAATACTCCAGACTCTGTGGTTGGACAATTTGTAGAGAGTAACACGTTATCATGTACCTCGGTTACTGTTAAAAATGACCTTGACGGATATCAGTTAAAATGTAATCTGGTTGAGAACCATGATAAAGACTTTTCTCCTCTTCACAATGTGAAGCTAGAGATTTCAGAACCACCAAAATCCCAGGATCTTCAAAAAAATTCACTCAGTAACCATGATGACACAGGTAGTGGTTCTTCTACACAAGTGGACAACCACTCTCAACTGGAATCTCTGCTTGAAAACAAAATTGAAAGTACAGTTCCTTTAAGAGAAATTGATCCGCCTATTCGAGATTCTCCTCAGAGCCCTGATCCAGAGCCACAGTTTGTGAAACCTAGCAGCATTGAAAAGGTTGACTCTGTAAAGATTGAGGAAATCAGAGATCCTGAGACATATACCAGTGTCACAATGCCACTTGTTAAAGATGAAAAAAATCATCTGCCTATTTGTGGTCAAGCAACAATGTCCAATATACTATGGCCTACTATTGGAGGTCCAAAATCAGATGTTAAAAATAGGGAAAGTCCAGGATTAAAGCATCCAGAAATACTCGGGCAAGGGGGAGGACATTCAGATCCAGCCAGAGGCTCTTATATTCTGAGCTCAGGATCTGAAATAGACCCTGTGACAAGGTGTCTGGGACCTGGTATGAGTAGTCCAGATATTAGGAATCCAGGACCAGATATGAAAGAACCTGGCAATAGGGGATCACAAATATATCTAAGAGAAACAGGAATTAGATTCCCAGGGCCTGATATGAGGGTACCAGGCATGCAAGGCATAAGCCCTAATATTTGGGGTCCTGGACCACATATACAAGACCTAGCTATAAGCGGTCAAGGGAAACATTTGAGGGACCCAGGGACAGGGATGCAGGGTTCAGAGCGAATTTTGAGAGAACCAGGTATTGAGGAAAACAATACTGACAGAATTGGTTCAGGAGCAGTCATGCAAGGTTCTGGGATGAGGAGTCCAGTGCAAGATATGGGAAGTTCTAGTATGCAAGGTATGAACCCAGAAATAAAAGATCCAGGCCATGATGTGAGACAGTGTGAACCAGAATTGAGAGGAAAAATGCTTGTACCAGCTGTTACAACTTCACATATGGGAGGACCTTTTGAGGGTCCACAGATACAGGGTAAGGCTTCAGATATTATAGAAAAAGGTAAAGGCCAAAAAGATAGATATGAAATTCCACATACTGGGGGTGTAAGATCTGCTATGAGGAGTGGAGGTGTAAAAGATCCAAGTCGAGATATAAGAAGTCCAGGTCCATCTTTAAGAGGCTCAGGACGACTTCAGAGGCAATCAAGGCATGATGGCAGTCCAGTTTTTGAGGATAGGGGCCCTCTGAAAAGGGGGTTTCAGCTATATGGAAGAGATACAGATTTGAGCAGGGTTGGTGGTGGTCGAGAAAGGAGTTTAGATTCCAATGCATCTATGGGTTCAGACAGTATAGTTCTTACAAAAGATAGACTATCCCCGGCAATGACAGTTGAAAGGCGGGGCCCACAAAGACGGACAAACATAAATTATGAAAGTGGTGGGTCTAACATGTCCTTCATTGAACAAGACAGTAGTGCACCTGAACATATCAATCGACCACAGCCAGATATTAGTGCTGACAGGAGTGTGCATGGCCCTGACATGAGAGAATCAGAAACTATGCATGAATTAGGAAGGCCAGATACAACAGAAACACGTTACATCGGGCCTAGTCAATATATGGGTACTATTGGTAGCTCAGATACAAATAGGAGGGATGTAGACATGCAAGGAAGACATATACAGGGTCTATGGAGAAATGAACAAATAGGTCAAGAAGACAAAGGTCCCATGCCAAACATTACAAATCCAGATTGGAGGGGTCCAGGTCTTATTGGTCCTGATATGATGGGTCAAATAAGTCAAAATAAAGGCCCGAGTTCACATATGGGGGCTCCAGATTGGAGTGGCCCTGGGTCAGACAAAAGAGATAATTGGAGAGGACCAGACAGGAGAAGGTCAGGTCCAGTCAGAGGAGGGCCATTTATGCAAGATGAATGGAGAGTCCACCAGCCTGATAAGAGAGGTCCAGACATGGAGAGCCAGGGGCCTGAAAGAAGAGGCGCTGGAGCACTCAACTTTAGAGAATCAGGGCCTGAAATGACAAGTTCAAACATGGAGAACATGACACATGACAAGAGAGGGCCTGGGGGCCTGGATGTTGTGTCACCGGGACCTTCAAGGAGAGGACCTGATATGGATGTCCCAATGTGTGGCAGGAGAGGACTGGGAGGTCCAGATTTCATTGGACCAGGACTTGAAAGAAGAGGACCTGATATGGAGGTCCCAATGCATGACAGGAGAGCACCAGGAGGTCCAGATTTCATTGGGCAACGAGCTGATAAGGAGGTCCCAATGCATGACAGGAGAGGACCAGGAGGTCCAAATTTCAGGAGACCAGAGCCTGAAAGTAAAGGTCCAACTAATGACAATCTGGGACCTGGCAGGAGAGGACCAGGGGGTCCAGACTTTGTGGGACCAGGTCTTGAAAGGAAAGGTTTAGCTATGGAAGGTCCTGGGCCTAACGGAAGAGGACCAGCAGGTCCAGATTTCAGGGGACCATGGCCCGAAAGGAGACATCCTGATATGGTTGGTTCAGGTCCTGACATAAGAGGACCAGGTGATCAAGATGTCTGGGGACCAGGACCTGAAAGGAGAGGTCCAGCTATGGAGGGTCCTGGGACTGAAAGGCAAGGCGTATGTCCAGATTTCAGTGAACCAGGGCTTGAAAGGAGAGGTATATCTATGGAGCATCCCAGGCTTGACAGTAGAGGACCTGGAGGTCCAGATTTCAGAGGCTTGGGACCGGAAAGGAGAGGTCCAGCTATGGAGGGTCCAGGGCTTGACAGGAGAGGACTTGGAGGTCCAGATTTCAGAGGACCAGGGCCTGAGAGGAGAAGTTTATCTATGGAGCATATTAGGCTTGACAGTAGAGGAACTGGAGGTCCAGATTTCAATGACCCAGGGCTTGAAAGGCAAAGTTTATCTATGGAGGGCCCTGGGCCTGTCAAGGGAGGACCTAGAGTTCCAAATTTCAGAGGCCCGGGACCTGAAAGGAGAGGTCCCGCTATAGAGGGTCCTGGGACTGACAGGAGAGGACCTGGAGGTCCAGATTTCAGGGGACCAGGGCCTGAAAACAGAGGCTTATCTGTGGAGGGTATGGGGCCTGACAGTAGAGGACTTGGACGACCAGATTTTAGAGGACCAGGGCCTGAGAGAAGAAGTTTATCAATGGATCATCCTGGGCTTGACAGTAGAGGACATGGAGGCCCGGATTTCAGTGAACCAGGGCTTGAAAGGAGAGGTCCTGCTATGGAGGGTCCTGTAACTGCTAGGAGAGGACCCGGAGGGCCAGATTTTAGCAGACCAGGGCCTGATAGGAGAGGTCCTGCTATGGGTAGTCCAGGACCTGACTGGAGAGAATTGGCAGTTCCAAATTTTAGTGGACCAGGACATGAAAGAAGACATCACTCTATGGACAGTCAAGAATCTGACAGGAGAGGACCAGGAGGTCCAGATATCCCGGGACCAGGGCCTGAAAAGAGAGGTCTGGCCATGAATGGACCAGGGCCTGACAGGAGAGGACCAGTTGGTCCAGACTTAAGAGGGCTTGGGTGTGAAAGGAGAGGTCCCTCTATGCATGGTCAAGGTCATGACAGGAGAGGAGCATATCTGAGCGGTCCTGGGCCTGAATTCATAGGACTGGGGCCTGAAAGAACTGGTCCAGGCATTGAAGTTCCAGGGACCCATAATAGAGGACAGGGAGGACCACTGTTCAGGGGTCCTGGGCCAGAATGCAGACATCCCAATATGGAGGACTCCGTGCCTGACAGGAGAGGTCCAGATATCAGAGGACCAAGGCTGGAAAGACCAGGTTCTGGTGTGGAGGGTCCAGAGCCCAACAGGAGAGGGCCAGGAGGTCCAAACATGAGGAGACCAGGGATTCACCATTCAGGTCCAAACATAGAGGGCTCAGGGGCTGACATGAGCGGTAGAAGACCTCCAGATATGGGGGAAACAGGCAACAGCAGTAACTTTTCAAGAGGCCCACAGTTCAGGGGTCCTGAGCCAGAAAGAAGACCTCCAGATATGGGGGATATGGAGTTTGATAGAAGAGGTCCACACATCAGAGGAGTGAGGCTTGAAAGAACTGTTATGGAGGGTCTGTGGCCCGATAGGAAAGGTCCAAGAGGTCCAGAGTTTAGAGGACCCGGTTGTGAAAGTAGAGGTCCACGCTTTGAGGGCCCAGGGCCTGACAGACAAGAACCAGGAGGCTTAGGCTTCAGTGAACCTGGGCCTGAAATAAGAGGTCCAGATATAGAGGGTGCAGGACCTGATTGGTCAAGATCAGGTGGTCCAGACTTTAGAGGCCCTGGCATCAGGCAGAAAGGTCCAAATACAGAGAGTCTTAGAAATAGAAAAGATAACTGGGGAGAGGCTGACTTTGGAGGCTCAGAACCTATCCAGGAAAGCCCAGATATAGAGGGTCTGGGACCTGATAGAACAGGTCAAAACATGAGGGGTTCAGGGCCTATGAGGAGAAACAGAGGACCAGGGCCAGATATTAGCAGTCTAAATTGGGGAGATAGATGGAAAGGAGAGCCCAATATGGAGGCTGCAGGAAATGATAGTGAATGTTCAGGAGATGATTGGACAAGACATGGCAACAGGGGTACACGGCCCATCCAGGAAGGTCCAGCTGAGCAGGTTCAAGAACATAGTAGGCAAGGTCCTCATATGGAATGGAGAGGCTCTAGAAGTAGGGTGCCAAGGCACATACAGGAAAGACCAAATTTACCATTTACAGGACCTTTGAGAGGTCCAGAAGATGATTGTAGTGGTCCTGGCTTCAGGGGTCCAGGGCCTCTGCAGGATGACCCAGATATGGGAGAACCTGGAAATCAATGGAGAGAGCCTGATAGGGGGGGTGCTGGGCCAAACAGATGGGGGCCTGGACCATTTTTAAGAGGAGAAAGAGATCCAGACAAGAGAGGACAGGGCCATGATAGAAGAGGTCCAGGAACAAGAGGACGAGGATCAGATATGAGAGGAGGCCCAGCTATGGGGAATGACTGGAGGAAGCCAGACTTCAGGGGTAATATAAGAGGGACAAACATGGAAGAACCTGGGGCTAATAGGGGAGGTCCAAACAGGAGAGGCCCCGGAGGTCCAGATTTAAGACACTCAGGGCCTGAAAACAGAAATTCAAACAATGAAGTCCCAGGGACTGATGGGAGGTTTTCCGATGGTGGGGGGCCAGGATCTGATAGGCGAGGTTTAGACATGGACACCCCTGGAACAGGTAGACAAGGATTTGAGCATGATTTTAGGAGGCAAAGGAGAGGTCCAACTATAAGAAGGCATACAGATATGAGGGGGCCAGCACCAGAAGGTTCAGATATAAGACATGGACCTGGTAGGTGGGATACAAAAATTGAAGGCCCAGGGTCAGACTCAAAGGGATATGAGCCAGCACCAGCTCATTTCAATAGTCCCCATCAGATTTCCAGATTCCAAGGCCCTAGTGATCCACATTCTGCACCTAACAGTGGGCCCCTAGGTCCAGCTCAAAACAGTGGAAGAAACTCATGCTCCGGTTTTGATAGCCTACAAAATCAGCAAACCGTAAACCCCCAGAGACACAGAGCTGCCTTGCTTCCCACTCCAACAGAAGGTCTTATACGCTTCCCAAATCGTATGATCAACAATCCTGATGTCTTCAGCCCAAAACATAAACAAATAGGTCACCCAACAGACAGGGACTGGAGTAGAGGTAGACCAGTGAGTCGAGAAAGAGAGTTGGTCAAAGGGCAAAGACAGGAGCAGGAGAAAAGTCCTGCTGGTAAAACAAGTATGCCTATAGATTCAGGCACAGGGGGTGGAGAAGAAAAAAAAGAAGAGGGGAAAGAAACTGATAAGCAGGGGATTCATGGTGTATGTGTAGAAACTAAAACCAATCCAAGTATGGACAGCGATGGAAATAAAAGCAATGTCTAGCCAAGTTAGACAAATCATTACACAAGATGGGTCAGTAAGGCTGATGAATGACAAAAATGCTTATCAAATTGGCTAGAGATAGACCGCATAACACACTGAATGTAGTTTTTCTCAAGGAAAGTAATTGTCCATGTCTTTTTGAAATTTCAACATGACCTACAGGAAAAGCCACGTGAAAGATCAGACATTGTGGCTTGATGTGGAAATGCTCAGAGGTATTTGAGTTCATTATGTTCTAGTTTGTGTACTTGTAATCAAAGTATGTGTGTTTATTTTTGTTATATGATTATGACTAAACGCCTCTTAAACTTAATTGATCACTTGTAAATTCAACTGCTTGATGTGCATTTCTAGTTGAAAAAATGTACAGTTTTTTTTTTTTTTTTTTTTTTTTTTACATAGCCAAAGTGTCAGTACAGTAGCCATAATCTGGCTTTTATGTTATATTGCTGGTAAAAAAAATGGCTTGTTACATTTTTCTTTTAGAATGCAAGTCAATAAAATGAAAATTACAATTTTACATTTGTATTTAGTGTGTTTTTCATCAATATTTGGATGAATTGAATTCTATATATATATCTATATTTATAATAATAAACCAATCTGTGGCTCATATTGTTAAGAGGTACAATTAAAAAAAAAAAAAAAAAAAAAAAAAAAAAGCAGATGACACATTTTAGTAGTTCCACTTTGCCAGAGACTAGTGACTCTTCAGAAGCAACACACTGTAAATAAAAGAACCTCCATTTGGAGATAAATATAGATGGAGCTTTTTAATTGATATGTCTTTCATATATCCAGTGGTGGAAGACTATTTCAGATCAGTAAATAAAAGTAATGATACCACAATGTAAGAACACTCAATGAAAAGTGTAATTTAAGTTTTAATATTATTCGGTTGGTTTGTTAGGAAATCTACATAAATTCATAATATTTTATTAGCTAATCACATGTTTTGTACGTACAATGTTGATCTTCAAATTAGCTATAGTAACTATAGCTGTCTATTAAATGTTGACTAAAAAGTGCAATATTTGCCAATGAAATATAGTGCGGTAGAAAGTAGCAGTAGTAAAGTACAGTATTTAAATAAATGTACTTTGTTACATTCCATCACTGAATATATCCATCCCTGACTCTCCATACTCTCAATATTTTTGATAAATGTTGGTCAGTCTGTTGGATTTGACATGCTCTGGTTCATAACAGTACCATCCGGAGTGAAAAGATATATACTTTTGATACACATTATGGAATATCAGCATTCTATGTAAATGCTTTTTAGCACGTTATTTCTTGTGTATCTTGCAGATTGTTGGGCAATACAATGTTGAACCATAAAAGGGCAGTGTGCTAAAATGAGTAATGTTTTCACAATAAAATTTGGCAAATAACAAGCACTACCTTTTAATGAGTTCTCAGGTTTCTTAAGGGCTCCTCCTGTATCAAGCAGGTCTATGCTAATACAGGACTTTTATTATAGAGGACTAGCAATATTGCCCATAACCCTCCACAGCCATCTGCAAGTCTCATGTCCTACCAAAAGGGGGCGACAGCATTCAGTTGCGTCTTTAGTCCATCAGGCATTACAGTGTCCAACAGGGAGACTTGTACTTCGGTGGAGTATGTCAATATTATTTTAGTTTACTTTATTTTAGAGGAAAATATCGTATTTTTATCTGACAGCTGTAGTTAGTGGTTACTTTACAAATAAAATGTTACATAAAATACAAATAAAATACAATGCATTGGAAACCTTAGGTTTTCTCTCTGTTTTCAGTCCTCATTGGTTCTTTCATTGTCATGGCAATCACAAGTATGGTTTCATGAGTGGGATCAAGGAACTTTGTGTGTTACTACAAAATATTTTGTAAAAGAACAACATTTACAGCTTATTTTGCTATGGGAAAAAAAAAAAAACAACTGGGAGGGAAAAAAAACACATTGATAGTCCAGTTCTGTTCAGTGGACATGTTATGCTTCTGCAGGTTGATACATAATAATCTTATAATCAATGTAAAATTATTTTAAAAACACTCTCAGTAGTATCTAGTATCCCCATACTAGTTTATATTAATGTGTATTAATAATGTATTAATGTGTAAGCAGCATGTTATAGCTGGAATACCAGATTGTAAAAATACTCCAAAACATATTACAAAAATACAAGTATCAACAAAATGTACTTAAAGTTAAAGTTTTCATACTAAAAAATACAAAAAAAAGTACCCGTGTTTTTATTATTGTATATGGCATTGTTGCATTATTATTAAGGACACATTCATGTGTAATTAAAATTTTACTGTTGTAGTTGGTGGAGGTAGAGCTGATGTTAGGCAGCTGTCAACATCTTTTGATTTTATGTGATATATTTTGTAAGATAAGGCTTTGTTTTATACGTAAAGTCAGGTAAATGTATTGGATCAAAATAAAAATATTTACATATTTTAAGAACTTGACTAAATGCAGGCTAATGTTTCTTAGTTACTTTTAATCACTGCTTTTTAGTAGTCTTCTATCTTGGATATAGACGCTCTGTTTTCTGTCTGTACAAAATATTTTTTGATCTGGACTTGGTCTAATGTGGTGTACATGCGAAAAGAGCAGTGAAATAGCGCTTCATAGTATTTTCACAAATTGAATAAAGGTTTCACAAATCTGAAACTGTGTTTGTTTGAAACCTTAGCCTCTGAGGAATAATCTAGTCCAGATTTGAGAGCTCCAGGTATAGTGGTTTTGGATCTGGACCTGGTCTAATGTGGTCTGCATGTGGAGAAAAAGCAGTGAAAGTAATAATAAGTAATAATTTAAGTAATAATAATAAAATAATTAAGACTTTGCCTAAAATGCATAACAGCTATTACAGCAGTAAAGAGCATAGACTGTATATAAAAAGGAAAAGAGGTGCAAAAATCGAAGAATCGGTCGCTCAGCAACGTAAGTTAACTTTCACTTAAGTTCCCCTTAACTTTCCCCTTAACTGCCGAATCGGAAGCTGCGACTCAAGCGCCATCGTTTAAGGAGTTTAAGTTAAAGTAAGTTGACCCAGTAAAGCCCTTATTAAAGAGCTAAATAATAACTGCAACATATTTGGACTCCAGATAATTGACTATTGAAATTTGTATGGCGTTTATAATTATTTACCGTTACCGTTTTAAGGTGGGGAGGTTTTACCCAACGTTAGCGTAACGTTATGTCAACGTCTTGTCAAATTTACTAACGTTAACGTTAGCTTAAAGTTCCTCGTTCGCTAACGCACATTCATGAGTTATGCTAGCTTTTGTATGTTAATTATGGATAATTCGTCCACGACTGACATATTGGGAGTTGTGGCTAAATTCGTTCATGCTAGCATTATCAGTGTTAGTTAGTTTAGGCTAACTTGAACTAAATTAGATCTTTTAACACTGGCCGATCTAACGTTAGCTTCCATGGCACAGCACAGTTATCTGAAGTCGGTTGATATGTAACGCGACTCTATGTTGGAAATATAAGAATAAGAAGAAAGTAATATTTTTCCTGATCTCCGTCCCATCTCTAGAGTGAAGGATGTCATCCTTTTCCTCAGTGTGTAAAACCATCCATGCATCACCTTCACCCTCATTCAGAGAACACACCTGTGACTCTGTTGGTGTGATATTTAGCCAAGGCGGATGTTTGACACAAGATCAGGGGCAGATGTTGGGAAGTGAACTTGGCCTGATGGAGATGTCAGAGGTTGAGTATACACACCTTCAGTACCTTATCCAGGCACACATGGAGGCACAAGCTGCGCCTCCAGATGGGCCAGATGCCAGATCTTACCCTGCTACAGTGATGGGTAAAGACACCACTGGATCAATAGAGATTTCTCCAATCTCATCCACTCAAGCAATTGACCTATCAACTTCAACTGATGGCCTGGTGATGCCAGGAGAAAAGACACCAGCTTCTTATGGAGAGGTCCCAAGTTTTGTGCTGGCAAGGGTCAGAGGTGAAGACAGTCCCACTGAACCACGTACCAACAGCAGCACATCCTTACAGATGAGATCCAAATCAGCTGCTAGAGTTTGCTTGGAGAAAAGGTTCAACACCATGTCTGCTGACACCCCAAGACAGCAAGATATTCAGTCTGCAGTTCTTAGCAAGTAGGTATCATTAATATTGTATTGCTATTTGTTAGTAAATATAGCCCCATAATGGTGAAGTACTCATTTTTATCTCTGTTGTTGTGTTTCAGTTTATTGACAATACTCCAGCAGTCTGCAGAGGCTCAAGAGGCAGTCATACATCCTCAAATTCAGAAGTGGATGAAAACTGAGAGAGCAAATCCTTTTGAGGTTTCCAGCCCATTTGTAGGGGGTGCATTTAACCCAGTCACCAACATGTGTGAACAAGTATGGTGAAAAATCAAAATACACTTTCTTACAGCTTTGTAAGAGACACATTTCATTGTTTAATCCTTTCCCCCCTGCTTTAATCACAGGTGATTAGCCATATTCCTCATATGGTTGAACCTAACAAGCATCAAGGTTTAATCATCCCCAAGAGTTTTTCATTTAAATTTCACCCAGAGATGGTTGTTACAAAAGCTCACTATACAAGTGGCAGCAACTCAACAGAGGAGCAGCAGTTGGTGAACATAGCAAGTAATAATATGTACTCTAAACCTAGTCTTACCTCACACTTGTAGTTCTTTTCTTGTTTCTACGCTTCAAATACATACTTTTGTGTCTAACTTATACAACTATCGTAAACACTCCCAATTTGTTTCATAGATGATGTGGCGACATCTGCTGCTGCCTCCAGGAAGCACGGTAGCACCTGCACCTTTCAACCCATCAAGGCTCATAAGGTGATCCCAGACTCTGCTGGCGAATCAGGGAGCAGCACCAGGAAAAGACCTCAACCTCATGTGCTACTTAGTCAGCGCAGGGAGAGACACAACAGTAAGGAGAGGGAACGCAGGTGAGCAGCCATTACAAACATCTGTCTCTGCAGGCCTCCACAGTTTGTGACATGGTCTTATGAAATAATCACAATTTGATCTGTCCAGGCCACAGTCACAGTCAGATATCCCCCTATGTTTCTTGTCTCTCTGTACTGTGACTGTAATGTACAAAATGTACTGTAATTAAGGCAAAATACTGAAAGATAATTATTAATTTCTGGGTTGCAACCTACTGTGTAGTTGCTTGATATTCAGACATTGTTAAATATATGTTCATTAAAAGTAAATTAAATAGGGTTGGAGAGATACACGGCTGCAATGACTGGTTGATCATTTTTTTAGATAGTTGAAAAAATCTAATCAATTAATCATTTAAAGCTAGAGTGTGGAACTTTTTTCTGTTTTATTCAAGCCCTTGCTTGATCTTCACACAATGAGGTTCACACAATTCTGATTAAGCCTTTCACCGCAAGGTTAATCTCTTTGTATTTCGCAGTATACTTTGAGTTTTTAAATCTGGTGTCGATGACGACATTAGTGATGTTTTATGCCAAGCAACAATGTTTGGTTTGCCAGAGCTGAAGGGGGGAGCAACGCTGCAGAATTCTTAAGCAAAAATTACAAACATTTGCTCAGGTTCTCAAATGTTCTTACATGATAGTTAATTGAATATGTTTTGCTTTTGGACTGTTTGTCGGACAAAACAAGACATTTGATGATATCACGTTGTGCTCTAGGATACTGTGATGTGCATTTTTCACTGTTTTCTGTTGTTTTGTAAACTAAACGATCAATTGAATAATTAAGAAACAACTCTGCAGCTGAAATGATAATAAATGAAAATATGCATCATTTACAGAAAATATTTATTAGTTACAGCCCTAGATAGCTATCGTGATGTCTTCTGTAAGCCACTGGGACATGAGACTTTAAGATCTAAGAACAGTAAAGCTTGAGAAACACTGATTTTAAACATCTGTAGTCTTTGTTGCTGCACAGAAAGAGGATTCGTTCGTGCTGTGATGAGCTGAACATGCTGGTGCCGTTCTGTGAGTCAGGTACAGACAAAGTCACCACCCTGCAGTGGACCACTGCCTTCCTCAGATACATCAATAAAATGTACGGCGACACCTTCAAAGAGGTATGTTTGTGTTGTTCAGTCTTCAGTAGTTAAAATGTTGATTGATATAAAGCATTTTGGCTTGATCATCCTGCAACGGAGTTATTGGAGACTGCAAACCTGGGAATGGGAGATAAGAGCTTAATTACATTGCGTCTTACTGCCTGAGTAATAAGTACTGCAGCCGACTTTATATAACTTTTGTTATTTAGGGTTTGAATCAAATTCTTATTATTTTTATTGTATGAAATTAAATAAACTTTATTATTTTACTGTGATGGATTATCTTCTGTTGCGCTTTTGCAGTGGAAATTGATTCACATACGAAAAAATACATAGTATTTTAGTAGTCAGCAAATTAAAACAAGCCCTAATCTATCAAAACCACATTATGCTGGCCGCGTGCAACACCATCATTACCTGCAGTAAAGGAGAGGCGATAATCTAGATAGAAGCAGACAGATGCATCTGTCATTAACCACAACAATCTGCTATTTTCCCACTTTACAGGAGTTTCAGAAGGCATTCACCAACGGGAAAGGACTCTTTCTTAAATCCACCGCTTCTTCAGACCAGGACCCAATCTACCAGGAGATGGACGAGACACTGAGCATTCCTCACGCGGTAGAACAGTGACCCCACTCACTATTTTATCTGTTGAATCAGCCAGATATTTGAGTACATTTTAATTTAACCTCTGAAGTAGGTTCAGTTGTCCCATCGGCTCTGGTTATAGGTTGGGTCAATGTGTTTTTGAATGACAAAAAGCATCCTTTTGAGAGGAGCTCCACATCTGACTACATTACTATGGTTTAGAATGAGGAACGTTTTTAGTCTCAGACCATGTGATGCTCTCACTGGCTTTCTTTAGCTGACCACACTGTATCAAACTAGTGTTTGAATTGCCACGCTATTTCGTCTGATATATTTATTACCCCTTAAGAGGCTACATTTCCTCAAGAGGCAACATTTGTTAAAAAAGGGCTTTTCATAGAGTCATACACAGGTGGCACTGTTTCTCTTTGAAAGACAGATGATGGTGCTCTAATGATTAAATTTCAGCTCTTCAGTTATAGATCTAGCAAATTTTACCCTTTATCTGCTTAATTCAAATTTAGTTTACTTGAATTTCTAATGAATGTTTTTTTAAATGACTTTGTTTGATATTTGTTCAGACAGTACAGTGTTCAGTTTTTGTCCACATACATTTATTCTTTAATCACATATTTAAGTGTTTTGCATGGAAGTAAGTGTTACTACTTTGTAAATTAATGGAATTACTTGACTTTCATAGTGTTAAGCATTACTCTGAAGTACAGACTGTTCATTTGATATGTAGAGAAGAGTAATGTTTTACTGAAAAGTGGCTTTATTTGTTCTTTCTTACAACATGTCGCTGTAGCATCTTACTGTACATACAACAGTTACCCACAAATAATAAATAGTATTTAAGGTCATGTATATTTAATAGTTACAGCACCGGTAGTACATAGTGGATGTGATCATTTTAGATGTAAACAAAAAAAGAAGGAAAAAAATACTTTGCTCCTAAGATTCTTAAATTGATTTTACAATGACTGATTTATGCATCCACAAGTTTTATTTTGTTTTTGATTCTCAAATCTAGAGAATCAACTTCACATGTAGTTTAAAAAAAAACAGTAAAAAAAAAGACTATCAAAAAGTGAATTTTTTTTTTTTGCATTAATCTACACAATTTCTGGACATCTGGGTATTTGTGTTTTTTATTCCTTTTACAATACATACACAGCTCCTTGACAGAGGCTTTTTGCCTATGCCACCTATTTCCATATTTTACACTGTAAGCTTGTATGTTGAGGTAACACCTGTGATTTACATTAATGGGCCATGATACATGCACATTCACTTCAGGGACAGTCACTGTTTTTAGAGTGTCATCTGCCAGAAGGATGGTAACCAAGGTAATGGGGGCATGGAAACAACATGTACAAAGTTTTTATACACAAAGGACTCATCATTCATTTTCCAGTTGTTTGTAAGTCAAGTCTTTTTATGTGATACTGTAGTATTTGGAGCAATGCAGTTGTTCTCTCGGACTCTTCCGTGCCTTTCTCCACTGTATTTCTGGATGTCATCTCAATGTTTTTGTCTCTCAGTTGCTCTGGGATTCATGTCAATCCTGGGATGTTCCTCTATTCCTCTCAAAATATCACACCTGTTGATGTTACTCTTCCCATCTTGTGATACAAGTATATAAATAAAGAGGACATTTTTGTGATAACTCTTTCGTTCCTTCCTTCCCTCACTTATCACCCTTCCTCCTTCCTCCTTGGGGCGGATGGCTTCAGGTTGCAGGAAGTCATGTTTAATGGTTTTTGGGGTTGGAGGATTTTCCAGCGACTGATGCTCCCTGGCAGGCTGATGTATCACAGATTCCAGGAGTTCCCTGGTGCCCAGTCCTACCTACCCTGCCTGGCTCTCCAGGCTCACCTGGATCACCTGGAGATCCATCACGCCCATCTTTGACAATACCAGGTACTCCTGGAAGACCTGTGGACAGCATACAGGGAATGAGCCAAAGACAAAATACTGCTGTTCTTTTAACTATTTTGTAATTAATCTAACAATTTTGCATCAAATATTATACCTTAACAGTAGTTAATGCAAATAGTTCAAATGATGCCACAGTCACAGAAGTCTTTCTCAAACAAGATTTCAACACACTTTAGAAATTGGTGGAGAACAACGTTCAGCTCAAGCTTTAATTAGAGTGTACTTCATGAAGCCTCATACCTTGGTGTCCTTGGTCTCCAGTGGGCCCATCAATGGCTTTGCCAATCGATCCCTTATCACCAGGCTCACCAACATCACCTGTTGTGAAAACAACATTTTAATCAATTGTGGACAGTAAGTAGCTCCCAACATTGTTGGCTTGTGACTCCTTACAAAACATTTATGTCAAGTCGGGGCCCCTTACTATGTTTCAGATGTCTCTGCATTGTTAGCAGTTGAGAGTGACTCAAACATCTTGCATGGTTTCATTGAAATAACTGTTCAAAGCCCAAACGCATGAAATTGTCAAAAAACAGATTAGAAGATTATAGCAAATTATCAAATTATATCTTTTCCTAGCGTAATTCTCACATCTCACAACCCCTCAGATTTATCTTGTGATCCTTTGGAGGAGGGGGCCTGGTCCCTAGGTTGGGAACCACTGAACTGATTTAATTTTTTATACCTCTGGGACCTGGGTCTCCAAGTTCTCCTGCCAGGCCTCTGTACCCTGGTGGTCCACGGGAACCTGGATGCCCAATAGAGCCAGCTACTCCTGGCTTTCCTGGAGGACCAGCAGGGCCAGGGCGGCCCACCATTCCAGGGGCCAGGGGTCTTCGAAGGTTAGCGGCCAGCTGTGCAATCTGATCTGCGCGTGATAGAAAACCCCAGCGGTTTAATCCCCCTGCTTACCTTTTATAGTGAACTACAGACAAAGATTAATTAAGATTTCTCACCATCGATCATTGAGCCACACAACTCTCTGATGTGCTGCTCGCTTGTCAGTTTACCCTGAAACACAAGTAAATAAGGCATTTGTAAAGTGTAAGCTCATTCACGCAGTTTATTGTAAAACACCAATGTGTGTGCTTATTAAAAATTAAAACACTCACAGGTACACCTGTCTTTCCTGCAATTCCAGGCTGACCCTGCTCCCCTTGGAAGCCCATTGGTCCTTGTTTTCCTGGGGGCCCTCTTGCCCCAAGCTCTCCTTGTGGACCTGTCACGCCCTTAGGTCCCAGTTCACCCTGCTTCCCCGGCTACAAACAAGAATTATCCATTAAATGACTCATTGTATTTAGCAAAAATGAAGAAATCAATTTCTTCCAAACTGTAGCTAAATACATCCATAAGCCCCTGATTGGATCGCTGACTAAACACCAACCAAGGAGTAAACTGGGTCTACTGAGACAATGTGGGGGCGTATTCATATGGCGTGTTGCTGCTTGATAATTACGCCGACAAGCACAGCAAACAGTAAATGAGACTATGAGAGTGAGGCTCATCAGTACTGTATCTCTAGTTACATAAATTGTGCTGCAGCTTAATGTGACTTGTCTCTCCCTTGTGGCGATAGCAGTGAACAGGCCAATAAAGCGAAAGCAGCAATACCTATCTCTAATTAATCCTATTAAATCTGGAATGTGAAGCAGAATCATGTGCTGTGAGTCTGACAAGTGGGCAACAGCTCAGAGCTTGGCACCAGTTTTTAATGTTTAGTGAGGGAGTTTGGAAGAAACTTGTGCTGCTAATTACACCCACACACAACATCTGATCTAACTATGTTCTGTGCTAATAGATGGACATCTACTGTATGTGGCGGGGTCCATGAAGAGGCATGAAACACTGTCAGAGGACACAAGGAACATAATGTAAATGAAAACACTGATGTAGCTCACCTCTCCTTTTTGTCCAACTGGGCCAAAAGGACCCTGAAAATAAGAACGTATGTTTAGTTAAACATAAGTGAAAACTATTTTTAAAAAAGATGCAATAAAACGTCCATCCATCGTCAACCGCTTATCCTGTGTACAGGGTCGTGGGGGCAATAAAACATTTTAGAACATAAATACAATACATTCAACTATGAATTATCCTAGTTCAAACTCTTCCGATAACTCGGAACGTAAAAACTAAAAGCTGCTTCACCAGAAGTCACATTATAATTACCAGTAGTTAAGAATAATTTTAACATCTATAAAATGAGGTGACCAAGTCAAGATTCAAGTGTTACATCTTTTCCATATGGTCCTAGTTAGCAATCGGGCAGCAGAGTTCTGAATCAGTTGTATGACTAATTACAGCTAACAGAGATAGGAGTCCCTGAGTCACTAATACTGCCAGTGTTTGGACTGAAAATTAAGAAAATACTTACAGGTTCTCCATTCTCTCCTGGTAAACCATCACTTCCTGCTACACCCTAGAGAGACAACATAAGATCTGAATTATTGGGCTTTTTCTTGGGCTGATAAAAACAGTTTCAACATCATAACATAACTTAGTTGGAGGTCAGTAGAGGTCATATTTAAGTTTGACCAGTGTGAACTTTGAATTGGAAATATTTACCATGTCTCCTTTAGCCCCAGAAGCTCCAACTGGACCCTATAGGTTTAAAAAGGGAGAGAGAGAGGGAAATAAATGAGAGCAATGTACAGACATTTTGTGGAAGGCCAGCTGTGGCAGAAGGAAGGGGGGATGAAGGGAAGTGAGGTGGGCTGGATGAGGGGAACCCGGAGAGGTATAAAGACGGGCTTTGTTCTGGCCTCAGATTCTGAACAGGAGGCCTTTTTGTGTTTGAGATCTCTCCTGGCTGCAGTTCGAGTTTATACCACTAAGACTGAGGTGGGATGACCTGGGTGTTGACATACGTACCCTCCCATGAGTGAAGCTGGATAGTTACATATCTCTGCTCTGTCTAAGTTTATCTGGAGATATGCTACATTTCTTAAAGTTTTATTCTTTTACTTTGGCCCTGAATGAAGATTCTTTGAGTTTGGGGGGCTTTTACCTGTTTTTGTTGACAATTACTATTTTGATAGTTTTTTAAATTTAAATGCAAAAATTGTCTGGTTCCAGCTTCTCAAATCTGAACATTTTCTTGTTTTCAGAGTTAAGTCTGATAGTAAACTGAATAGATTTGTGTTGCAATGGTTGGCGTTTTATAGACCAAATGATTTATCGATGAATTGAGAAAACAACTGGTAGATTAATCAATAGTAGAGAATATATTTTCATTATTATAATACCGTTCACCAGCCCTATACTGGATCAGGGATCACACTTGATGCCCTGGGACACTTTCAATATTGTCACATATGTCAAACTCACTCTGTCACCAAACTCTCCACGGATTCCTGTTGGACCTGGAAGACCTGGATCCCCCAAGGCTCCTTTTAACCCCTGCAGTACATGGCACAGACAGCTAGTGAGTTAACTCGTAAAAAACAAAACAAAAAAAAACAACAACATGATCTTGATGATGTGATGTCATGCAACTGACCTGGAAGCCTTTCACTCCCTGAGGCCCAGCATTGCCCGCTGGTCCAATACCTCCCTGTTGGAAACAGACACTGTCATGTAATCTCACTGGGAAGTAGTAAAACAAACTGGGTAAATGGTCCCTCTTGATAAAGATGTTTTTTTTCTTGCTAAAATTTCAGAGAATGTGAACAAAAAATAAATGGACATGCTGGTTGTGTGAGGTGTGATTTATTAGGCGGCACAGTGTGTGAGAGAAGTTTGTTAATTCCTATAACCTATGCTGTTTTATGCTTTTTTTTATTTTACTTGCTGCAGGCTCTGATGTAAAAAAGAAAGACCTCTCTGTTTATGAATTCCTCCTTTATGAATACCTTCTCTCCCCACCGGCCCTGCATTACTAACAAACTCCACCTTAACAAGCCACTGAATCAGTTGCAATACTCTTAGTACTTTTGTAGCAGAATATCATTGACTTTAACGAACAGTCGTTTATTATCCTGCTATTTCAGGAGCAAATTTATTCTGTATGCTGCTATGTACTGTCTTTTAACATGGGTACATTAATTCTTAATTTCTTTTTCATGTCATTGTGCATTCAACTACTCACCCTGGTTATTAGAACAGTATACTTTAAAGTGCTGGAAAGTGAGTCTAAATTCAGTAAACTGGATAAATTCAACAGATTACCATCTGTGCAGCAGAAAGTCTAATAATTTATCTTCAAAATTGGGTGAAGATTATTTTTGAATGTCCTGTAATAGATGCTTTTGAAGCTTTTATAGCTGTACAAGCAGCAGTGCAGCAATTTGATAGAGATAAATGCACATGTTGCCTTGGTTTTAGTGTAAACTTACAGCCACTCCTCTGGGTCCTGCTATCCCCCTTTCTCCGGGAATGCCAATGTCACCCTGAGGGAGGAGACGAAAGATGGTGTGGACAAGTCAGGAAAGTTTTGCGTCCAGATGCAACATTGTTTAAGGTTCCATGTGGGGTTAAGTGACATGTCAGTGAGGCTGTGACCCAGTAATACCCCCTCCCCCTCCAAAAAAAAGCCCATCAGATACATACAGGAATACCTGGCTCTCCAGAAGGCCCCGTCTCCCCGGCCTTCCCAGGATCACCCTGGTGTAGAAGAAGGGACAAGATAAAAGTTGTCCTCCATGGTCCTAATCTTTAAGGTTACCATATGTTTCTATTTTGTTGTAATACTCACAACTTCTCCTTTAGACCCCTTTGCACCAGCCTTTCCTTGTAGACCCTGTGACACAAAATACCTACAGTGACGACACTGTGTGTGATCTTCTTAACATTTTCATCAGTATACCAACTGAGCTTTCCTTTTTCAGGAGTTTAACACACCATTTTTTACTGATCACAAGACATGCTTAGGACTGATTTTGAGAAAATGAATGTGCTGAAGGGTGCTGAGAGTGGAAACGCTGCTCTCTCTTAGACAGGAAGTCTAATTCAAAATACTTACAGGAAGGCCGTTTGGTCCTTTCTCTCCGACTACCCCATGGCGTCCAGCATCGCCCTATCAACACAGACAACACTGTGACTGTGACATAAGCTTCACTCAGGCTGTGAACTCACGGCTAATTTAAGCCCAGAGCATGCAGAAAGGGAAGGTGCAGCTTACCTTCTCGCCATCTAATCCTGGTGTACCATCTTTGCCGTCTCTGCCAGGAATACCCTGCAGAAGACATCACATATGATTCACATGGTTCTGAGAGGTGATGTTTATGAAAATTTCTTTTAAATATTTGCACTTACAGGCTCCCCTTTGGGTCCTGCTCCCCCAGGACCTCCTTTGGGCCCAATTTTACCCTGTTGAAAGACACATCCGGGTGTCATTTATACATCTTGTATGTACTTGTGAAACTAATAGTCACAAATCAAAGTCTTTTAGTTACAATTTCTCCTTTGGGTCCTTTGAATCCCTGTGGTCCTTTTTCTCCGCTGTCACCCTGGAGACATCAGATGAAACACACACAGCTATTCATTGATGGGACCAGCTGTCTATTCTGGCTGTGAACTACTACCAAACTCTAATTTTATTTCAAGTGTGTTTCAAACAAAGAGAGACTCACTGTCTTTCCAATGATGCCGGCGATGCCAGGTTTGCCTCTGAAACCAGGCAAGCCCTAGACAAAGAGCATGAGGTCAAAGGAAACAAAGTGTAAGTACGCACATTTAAATGTCAAAAGATGCTCATTAAGGAAGGAGTGATCATGTTCTAAAAGTTGCTTACTCTGTCTCCTACAGCTCCCATTGGGCCTTGTAAACCTCTGAGACCCCGTGGGCCCTGAAATCAGCATTAGAGCATTGTCAAGGCACTTTAAAACTTCAAAAACCATTCAGGATGTTTAATAATTACATAAAAACAAAAGTTCTGAATAATCTCTATGTAACTCACCTGCAGACCAACAGTCCCAGGAATACCTGGTGGGCCAGGTGGACCAGCATCACCCTAGAGGCAGAACAGGACGGCAACAAAACACCAATTCAAACTCATTATATGTTCATTCTATTCTTATGTAACTTCATTAGTCACATTATACCACTGACAGCAGCCGAAATATTTATGTCACACCATAAACTCACCTTCTCTCCATCTTTTCCAGGCTCTCCCTTGTCTCCTTTATGCCCCGTGTGACCCTACGTGAGCAAAAATACACAGAATTCAATACAGACATGAGGAAATGTATTGTGAGGTCGCGGGGTGACATGATCAGATTCCCAGGGGACATACTGATCAGCATATCATTCAAACCAATTTAAAAAAAGGAGCTGTGACAGAAACTATATTCACCTTGAATCCTGGCATCCCAGGAGGACCAGAGGGACCAGGGGGACAGATTGCAGGACACTGCAGATGACAGGGACAAAACAATGAGGACTGAGTTTACTGTCGTCACGCTGCTCTCACAGGTGTGTGATCGAGAACTTACCAGAAGGTCACCGCTGAGATCATGAAGAGTACCAGGAAGACCCTGACAGAAGGAGAAATTACACCACAGAGATGTTTTATTAGAGATAATGTTAATGCTCTCCTGGTTCAGTGCGTTTCCTTCCTCACAGTTGGTAAGGGGCATGTGTGAATTTCACATTCATTCAGATAAACTGGGTGGTAGGGGAAAATATAACATATGACTATAATGTACCAGCAGCACAAATTAGCAAGTATATAATGATACTTACTGGTGGTCCATCAGGGCCAGGAGGTCCAGGAAGTCCTGGAAGACCCTCAGCACCCTGAGAAATGAATAGATAGCACAGAGATTAGCAGCATCTTTTGCATCTCAGTTTAATATGAGTGATGAGATTTTGTTTCTTGATTATATCAAAGTTAAAGCCAGTCTACTAAACATCTGATCACAGTTACAGCAATCAATTGTGATTTTCTTTGTGGTCCTTGGTTAAAAAAACAAAATCGATTTGTTTATTGTCACTTCTCTTGGATGTTTTAACTTCATTGTGCAGAACAATGTATTGATGGCTGTTTTTCAAATGAATCTGCTGAAGGGGGAATGTTTCTCTGTGCTCCCCTTAAATCTGAGTCTAGGACCAAAAAGCATGATTTAGTGACATCACAACTAGTTTAGAAGCCAATCGTCATCCCTTATGCAACTTACACGTGAGTTTCAGTAAAGTAGGAGACATCTTGTTAGTGAACTTTTGACTCGAAAAACATAAATTGATAGATTGTGGATTCCTCAATGAGGGAGAAGGAGTAGATGAAATTCTAAAGATTTTTTCTTTGTCTTAAATCATCTGTGGAGGGGATCTTTAACTACTCAAAGGTGGTAAAAAGTAGATGTACTTCATTTGACCCCTCGCTGCATCTCTGTAGACGATGGTAACCCTGACATAAAATCCTTATACTGACCCCAACTGTATTTTTAACACTAACCCCAACCTTAAAATGAATCCTGACCAAGACAATAAATATCTTCACACAGCTGCTAACAATACTTATGAGCATCTGATAATCCAAATAAAGTGTGACCCAGTAGAAAGACTAGGCCAGTCCACATACTAAAGTGCCCTTCCTCTCCAGTAGTTATTCTTATCCTGCTCCTGCTACATTATATAGGGATTTAGGTCAATGTTGTACTGGTTGATTTTAGCAGAGCTGTGAGTTAAAAAAAACCCTGCTGGATCTCAATCAGAATCAGTGTCACTGTTTCTGCTGCAGAGGCTTTTTAGCCAAATAAATAATAATTAACTGGATGGTAAACTGACACTTTTCTTTCCAATTAGGTACTGAATCAAGCATAGAATAAAATAGAATAGATAACAAGAATGATTTGACTGTCTCATTTTGAATCAGTGGATGGTACTTCTCGATGAGGATGACAGAAAATGTAATTAGGGAGATCAGACAAATACTCACCGCTGGACCCTGGGGTCCGACTCCGCCTGGCAACCCATTGGTTCCAGGTAGTCCCTGGAAACAAAAGACAACGGGTGTGAGCAAGACATCAGAATACGTGAGTAGATGTAGCACTCATTCAGGGCTACAACAATGTGTAAAATGCGCAAGCATACTCTCCCAGGATGCAAACACGCATGGAAAAATGATAAAAAGACAGTGTTGTGTACTCACTGGAGCTCCTGGTCTCCCTCTGCCCTACGGAAGAAACAGGAAGGCAAATTAAGTCACAAACACTGAGGGGATGATTAGATTTACCCACAACATCAAATCCACCACGTGATGTATTACTGCATCAAATCCGCTTTGAAAGTTATATCCCAGGTTGTTGCTGTGTGGTGGATATGCACTTTCGCTATCCAGTTGGATCAGAGAAAACTATAATCCGAGTATTCCTGGGACAATGTGTGACACTGCCGCTTTCCAAAGCTGAGTTACAGCCCTGACTTTCCAGCAGAATTACAGAACTTGATTCTCTTAGTGTAAAATTATCCGATGAAAAGGAGAAACTGCCTTTGGTCCAATGATCGGATCAGGTATAAGACGGTATATACGGTAAAACAAAATGAAAGGGAAGTCTTTTAGGCTAATATGGTCAGTGTAACAGTTGTCAGGGTGCACTTTGTGATGTTTCTTAGGTGTTACATTAGTATGTGGAGGTACTTACAGGAGATCCAGGTGGCCCAGCAGGTCCAGGATCACCCTGTGGAGATCAAGGGAAAATGCCACAATCAAACTTTAGGACATAATCATAAACAGTGCAAAACAAATCTAAATTGTTATGCATGTGTGAACCTAATAGAAATGTTTTATTTTTCACTTTTTCTTAATTTGGGCTTGTTAATTAAACAAATGCACATTAATGAGCAGCTCTATCTCTTTTAATTTTGTAGAGAGTACACAGTACCAGTGTTTACTGTACAGTAGTGTTTACAAGTTTAAAGTAAACTTTGTTCTGCATGTTTTTAGCCCACTAGTGGGGGTTGCTATTCAACAGCTCTTTTTCTTTATTGTAGTGTTGGTTACTGAGTATGAATGTATATGTGTGTGGTGCTAGTCGCATCCCAGCTAGCCACAATGAGGGACAAGGAGTGTTGTTGCTATATATGACTTAATTTTATATTCTATTAATACCTTCAAAAAAGGTGTTGTCATTGTTTCCTGTTTTTACTGTTCATGATTAATACAGGCAAATAGTATTTAAAAAAGAAAAGGATGCTGACATGTAGTTCTGCTGTAGGTCACAAGACTGTTCATTAAAGTTACTGAGAGGAGAAAATGTCTGGATCATGGCAATTATTGCAATCAATTAAAATGACCATACATTTTTCTCAAAATCAATCATCGAATATTTAGTGTGGTCATCTGTATAATCCCACAACAATTCATATACTTAGTATTGTTAGCTATGGAGGACACAATAACAAGTATTTTGGTCTGAGAGATGTCTTCCGCTTTCCTTCACTTACTTCCAATCGTTTACTTTTTTCATCCATTATTTCTGTCACTAAAAAAATTACTTCTTCAAACTTGTTCCATGAATAAAATATGAAATTGTGGTATCCTGTTATGCCCCTTCTTCTTTCCTTACTAATCTGGCATGATCACTTCTCCTCCTACTTTTCTAACTCTTTGTTTGCCTCCCTCACAGCTGTATTTGAGTTGTCTGACTCCAAATAAACAGGCCTAACACAGTGATGTTACTTATTTACGGTACTCCTCAGTCTGCAAACTACACAATAGGGAATTCTGACACACAAATCACAAACAAACAGATGCGAGGGAGCTGAAAATGACCTATGAATACAATAATAAGCCTAAAATTAGAAACAAATCAGTATTGTGTTGTGAAAATGAACAGTCACCATTACTGTTATTTGGTTTAGTGAGATAATATACTGCTGCACACTAGCTTATGTGTGTCTGTCTCAAACTCCACTGGTTTGATCCTGTTTGCCTTTGCATGACTCTTCAGCACTATGAACCATCCATGACAGTGTAGTAATCTGAGTAATTAGGGACAGTGGTTGGCTCAAGCTTCTTCATTAGGTTGGCTAATTAGCTGAATTGGGAAGTGGTCTTCCTGTTTAATCATAAGATGTGGCAGTGCAGACATAGTTGGATGCCACATGTGTTGTAATTCTGTCTTCTCTTGTATCTCTCTGAGGATAATACCTGTTTCTCTCAGCATCAGGGTCATCATCATCATCCCCTGCAGTCTTACAGATTGGTGGGAAACAGTGTGCATTCCGGGCCGGATTAGGAAAGCAGCAGAAATAAAGCCGATTCTGATCCCTCATTAAAAATATTCCCAACCAAGAGGCTGAGTCGGCTTGACAAATCCAGGCTGACAGAGAAAACAGGGGTGGTGTCCCTGTTAGACCTTCCTAAAGAGCAGCACCCAATCAGCATGCAGGGTTTCTGCATACACATGTCTTCTTGTGTCTCACTAGTGGCTGACATCAAGTGGTTGATTAATGGGGGGTATTTGAAGTAGACAAACATACAATTCAACTGGGTGCATCTTTATGCAGCAGATCCCAGAAAGATCAAAAGACTGAGACACACTTACTGGTTCCCCTGGGGGGCCATCCTTCCCAGAAGGACCATCGGGACCTGTCAAACCCTGAAGAGAAAACACATCATTCAGTTGTACATCATTGTGTCATACTCTGCTATTATTATAAACATAGCAGAATCTCTGTTTGGGTATTCCTTGACAAAGGAAAAGATAGTGTGTTGATGTTAGTTTAAGAATTGTGCATTGTTTGTTGATTGGATGCTTACGTCCACCCCTGGAAGTCCTGGCAGGCCTGGTTTTCCTGGTACACCTGGTATTCCTGCTTTCCCTTTGGGACCCTGCATAGACAGAGATTTAGGAAATCAATGATTTAATCAACTAATTGACTTCTACTGCTTTTATCTGGACATTATGAAATGCAGCCAAAACAAAACTAGCAAAATAAAAATGTACTGTTTAACCTCATAAAATCATTTTTGGGGAGGTTTTCCTTATCCAAATCCAGTTTAAGGATAGAGGCTACTGTACAGACTGAAAAGGCGTTTGAGACAAATTTGTGATTTTGGCTATATAAGGGACTGAGCGAAAATTATTAGGGTGAGAGAGCGGGTCAGAAAAGGGTCAGGGTATCGAATTTTACTTTTTTTTAATGTGTACATCGGTACCGCAATTTGTAAGTTCCATTTATAACACTGGTACACTCATACAGTCCCTAAATTAAACTGACTTGACTTGTTGGAATACTTACTGCTTTCCCTGACAATCCAGCAGGTCCAGGTTTACCCTGTTAGTGAGAAAAGAAAAAAATGTAATATAACCAGACAGAAATGTGTATTTTATTCATTTTGTTCATTTGTTGTGCACTGCCACAGGCCCAAATACTTCCATTGATTACAGTCTTGTCATCAATAACTTGGTTGTAATACCAACAACAGAACTGTTAAAGTGACTGAAGCAGTGAGTCTCTGGTCTGCCTCAGTATAAAGGATATGATGGTTAGCTTCTGCAGTGTCTAGGGAAGAACAAACACTATTAAACAGTCCCAACGCTGACTGGTCACATGACAAAAGCTTTTGGTTTGGTTTGTACAGGGGGCTGAAGGTGCAGGGAGGAGGTGTGAGAAACTCTAGATGGTCTCACTGGGTTGGGGAATGTATGAAAGGACCCTCTGTGTGCCTAAACTTTCCTGTAGTCACAAAAATATCCTACAAAATTCTCTGAGATGTCCAGACATGGATATACAATATTTTCCAACATTTGCTTTTAATATATCAAAAACATTTGACAAAAATCAAAGATGTTGCCAAAAGTTTTTCTTTTTGCTTGGCTTCCCTTTAATCCAATTTCCTCTTACAACTTGAGTAAATAAACTTTCATCACATCATTTTACTCATATTTTTCCAAAACATCACATCCTGCATACCAGCAAAACCCCTTAAACAAGTCTGGTGGCTTAAATTTCAGTGGATTGTTCTTGTATTGGCAACATTTATTGAAAAGCTACAATGATGGAAATCCAGACATATCTGGCTGACTGATTATACTGTACGAGTTAATATGAACAACTATAACGAACACGAGCCATTCACTGTGTAAATACAATCTAAGCTTTGAAATGTTTAATAGAAAAGTATTATTAACCAGAGAGTTTTTCACTACTTTTTCACCCACAAAACTCCATTTAGCAGAAAACGCCTACCTGACCAAAAGGATTATGATTTCATAACTGTAGGAGGGGCTTTGGGAGGAGTCAACGTAATAAAAACTAACATCTAGAAACATTTCAGCCACATTTACGCACAAAGAAAACACTGTCTACCAAATGTAACTGAGTGGGAATTCAATTTTTGATATACAACATGAAGAACCACTGAGCTGTTACTAAACAATCTATCATTATAGAGGCTGTGGCACAAGTGTAGTAAATAAATAATAAATTATTCTGATCTGGTATCTTGATCTGGAACTTGACACCCCATTTTTCTTAAAAGACTAGGCGGGATCTCTTAATAATTACTCAAGGAAAGAAAACCAAATTCAAATGAGGTGCAAATATTTTGGTTTGGTCAACTCACATCAGTGCCATCCCTTCCCGGTGGCCCTGGGGGTCCTGGTGGCCCAGGAGCTCCTCTGGGGCCCGGCCTCTGCAATATAAAATTCATCCAAATCAGGCATTTCTCCCTGAGTGATATTAGGCATCCATTGTTCTTTCCACACCACAAATACAGTCAACATGTGCAGGTTGTTGTTTGATGTGATATAAAATAGAAAGTGATGACAAAGGTTTGGTTTTTTGGTACCAACAGTATCGATTAGAAAACTTGTAAAATATATTCAGGAGATTATTGAATTAAATAATTGTGTCTCATTCTTAGTAGTTAGACACAAATTCAGTTCAACTGCAACTTGACGCTGATGTAAACAGGCGCGCATAAAGACGCTTTAACGCTCCTCTTACGCACAAGAGGAAGTCTAAACTAGATTTCTATGAAACACAAATAAATCAATAATTCACGGGTCATCTAAACAAAATACACTTATTTGACTTTTCAAATGAGCCTGCGTTTCGACTCAGCCAGGGAGCCTGAATGAACAGAGGTGGCATTGTGCGCTGTGGCACTGATCTCCAATCCGTGCATTCCACAGGTTCTGGGAAAACATAACCCCCAACTTCACCAAATAGTGCGAAAGGCACCGCCACCTGCACACAATCAGGCTGACATGGAAGAGTAAAAATAGGCCCACAGAGCAAGAGTGACAAAATACCAGCCACGTCCAGCCATGGATAATTGTACGAAAAGAATAAAGAGCATATGAGAATTAAACTACTCAGAGAAACCATCAGGTAGGGGGAGAAAATGCAGGTCAGGGGGAGAAAATGCAGGTCAGGCGTCAAGCAGGTGTAAATGAGAACGACTGTCATCATCATTATAACCACCATCAACACAAGGGATAGGCTTTATTTTCATTAGGTGGAGCAGTAGGTTACATTAACTTTTTGCAGTAAGTCAAGAATATACATTAAACGCTATCAGCACAAAACACACACCGCCAAAATGAAAGGAGGTACGCGGGACTTGATAATTCTTACCTGGGCTGAGGATGATGTCAAAAGCTGGCACAGTAAGAGCACCCAAAGAGCAGAGAACATCGCCATGGCTCCCCGCTCGCCCTCACAAACCCGAGTTTATACGGAAAAAGGTAAAATCCCCGGTTCCCGTTCGTCTCGAAACTCCCCCCCAGCGCCTTTCTTCACCTCACGGCGCACAGCTCCTGAGTGGCTTTCTCTTTGGTTCCAGATAAACCCGAGCCTCCAGCCGAAGGGGCTGAACTCAATCTGGCGCACCGAACGCAGGGGTGAGGGGGGTCAGGAGGAGTGAGGGAAGGCAGCAAGCAAGAGGGGACACAATTTCGGACACCAAGAAAGTGGGCTGAGCTAAAAAGAAATATGCGGGGGTTCCTGCTTTGACCAATTACACACTGACCTGAAACACAAATCTTCCAAATCTGCAAGGTGAAAAAAAGGAGTTGGCCTTCTTTAAGGGCTCTTTAACGGTAGCCTGTGTATTAGTACAATGTTAAAAGTAAAAGTGGCACTCCAGCAAGTTAGTATAGGCTATTAAACTTCCATCAAGTTCGGTGACTCTTAAGAGACACATTCAAAAAAGGTTGATCAAAACTGAAGTAGGGAGGCCATGACATCCTGAGGTAGCCTATGTATGTATTCAGCTCCAAAAATGCTGGATCCTTCATTTCTCATAATACAACTCAGCAGCAATAATTCAATAGAAACTCCACAGACATCCTAAATTTGTAACACAGACCTTCTTTTATGATTTGTCTCCTAGAACCATAACCTTGATGACATCACTATGACATCACCAGGGTTATTTTCTAACATGCTTCCAGATTTGCAGAAAACACCATATGAGTGTTTGACCAGGCTGAATAGTACACCCCATGTCTAAGATTGGGAGAATTCCCCTTTAACCAATCAGGTTTTCAATCAAAATGAAATGTTAAAAACTGAGTTAGAAACCTTTCTTTTCTTGCAGCAGTGTAGAGTGGGATAGATAAAAAGTATCGCTGCATAATGATTCTAGTGTTGATCCCCTATCTGTCCCTAGACTATAGGCTGCAACTAGCGATTATTTTCATTATCAATAAATCCACAGATTATTTTTTCAATTAATGGATAAACAGTTTGGTCTATAAAATGTCAGAAGATATTGAAAAAACAATTTCCCACAGCCCAATGTGATGTCTTCAACTGTATTTTGTCTGATAAAGTCTAGTGATTAAGACAAAAAAACAGATCTCCACAGTTTAGCTGCTTGAACAAGTGAATGTTTGATTATTCGTGCTTAACAGCTGCAGATTAATTTTCTGCCAATCAAGAGGCTACATTATTAAACCACCACTGAAAATGAAGTTGAAGAAATTACTCAAAAAGCACATATCCACTTCCTCTGTCATGGAGGACAAGCATAATCTGAGCACTACTCTTGATCTAAACCTGAAATAAGTCAACAAAAAGTGTTAAACAGGGAATGGGTAGATATAGGCTGGACGGACAATGCAATAAGAAATAGCAAGCTCATACTCCAAGGGGTGTGCGTATATATATATATATATATACACTCACACCCTCCACTCCGATCCTGAGGCCTGAACAAATTCTGTTGCATCCATATCTTGAACATCTTTTTTCTTCCCTCTGATATGAGTCATGCCACTTCACTGAGGCTAAGTCTGTTTGCTGAAAAAGACATATTTCTGACTATATGCTGCTGCACTGGGAAATCGAAGAAGAGTCTCAGGAGTAAGAGCAAACGTTGACATCTACCACAGTGTTATCCCAAGAACTGATATTTAATCAACTATAAAGGGGCTCAGAATTTGGCGACACACAGATTCATTTCATAAAAGCGTCAAAAAATAGTATAACTTTATTTTGCTTTGTCAACAGCCAGATAACATAGTCGTGGGGGGGGCATATATAAAGAATTCAGTACTTAAAGTTATTACCATTTCATTATGTAAATAACTTCAACAATTAATAGAGAAAATTAAGTGCAATTATAAAAAGATGCATCAATATAATCACCTGGCTTGTACATTTTCATGGACTGCACCCATGTCACATTAACATACAGTGGACTTTAAATTAGAGCCAAAGCTTTATCAGTTCTGCCGAGAAGACATACATATTGTACAATCAACCAGTCTTATCACATTTTTGGCAAGGCTTTCAGTTGTTCAAAAGTCTATTTTCCAAATCTGCATGAAAACATACAGACTGTGCAACACTATTGAAATATAACTGAAGTGTCGTTCACTCTTCAGTCCTTTTATACAGCAGGGTCCAGCAGAAACGCAAACCAGTACAGAACGCACACAAAAACAGCCCAGAAAGAAGAAGAAAAAGCTCTTCCGATTAATTATTTTTCAGTGCAAAACAAAATCTTCAACTGTGAAAGAATCAAGGTGTTAAAAATCCTGAAACCATCAATTCATTGATATACATAAATAATAATCTTTAATTGTGAAATAATTAAGGTGTTTAAAATGCTGAAACCATCATTTCATTGATATACATAAATAACAGTGCTTTATGTATTCTGTAGATATTAAATATCAGTTGCTGACAGTATTAGGCATTACTACCTAAAAGGATAAGTCTTGTGGTATTCTATATTTTTCTTCTGTGGATGACTCCAATAGAAAAAACAAAAACAACCAATAAGTATTTATCCCACTTACAAGTATTGTCTGCGTATCCAAATCCTGATACAGTATCTCTGTGCCAGAGGAATAAGTAACAACACTCCACTACTGGCTGACATGTTCCTTCATTACAATAAACATGGGCACTACAGTTTGAGTGATTCCCACATACACTGTCATGCTACTGTGAATACTTATTTTATAACTTCTTTACTCCTATTTGAATAATGTGATAAAACCTACTGTAAAATAAGTTAGATTCACGTCAATAGGAACCAATGAGCTTGGAGCTGAGAGCCACAGACGCGTTCAGGAAGTCAGAAAGTACTGAGATGGACTCTACGGCTACGACCTGCAAGGCAAAGGTCACGTGACCAACAGGGTAGCGCTGCTGTTTTACAGCAGGCTTTGTGATTTTTTTTATTTAAAAATGTTACAATAGACACACTTGGTCCGAAATTTCTTGTTGTTTAACTGAAATAGCATAGAGCTGTGCGCTATTCATTATCTGATATTTTCCCCAGAAATTGTGAACAGAGTTGGTGGAAGTCTCTCGTTTCACATTGTTTTCTTTTATATTGAGTTTTACTACATTTCTAAGGAGTGTTGTGTGAGTAGACAAGCTAGCAAGCCTAGCGGAAATTAGCCTGCCGTCCCCTTCGCACATGTGACCTTCGCCTTGCATGTCGCAGCAGTCTGCTGGGTCTCTTGCTGGTTTTGATCTTTTCATGGGATTTGTTGACAAAAACAAAAATAGAGAATATCACCAGCCTTATCCTTTAATATTGTCACACCCAGCCCCACATTTAGTAAGTTAATGAATTCATATACTCCTTCAAAGTGAAAAGAATCAATATCTAAACATCGACTATCGCAGAGTTAAGGCCCAGGAAGTCATACTCTGGCCCTATATTATGTTTAATTTAAGCTGAAATTAAGTATTTCCTCCAATAAATTCATGAATTCCCCACATTTTAATCTGAGCTTGAGGGAACTGATTCCATATCATTTGTCTGTTCCTCCACACCTTTTTCGGTGCTCGTCTGTGACCCATTTGTTGCGGACACATTTGCCTGTGACGTTTCTTCCTCTTCCTTTTTTCCTAGCACTTTACTACACTTAGTCCTTGGGATTTTCCTTCCCAAAGAATCACTGGGAGTGAGTTTTGAAGTCTTAGGGACAGTTTGCGCTGACGGGCTTGTTTGACCAGTGGCTTTTTTAGTGCCAGCTTTTTCCTCCACCTGCCCACTAGCAAAGTCCCCAGCAGAGCCGTTGCTTGGCAGGACCTTATCTTCTCTCTTCTTCTTCGGTGGTTTTTCAGTGTCTGTATCGCCATCTGTTTGCCTACTGCTGTCTGTTTCCGGGATGATGCCTTTCGGATTGTTAGTAAGGTCTTCCTCGGTTTCCGCAGAGGGCTTGCCTTCTCCCATCAAAGTCTCAGAACTATGCGACTGATCCATTTCACCATCATCTTCTACAGAGTCAATTCCATTCAACATTTTATTATTAGAATCATTCTCTGCATCTCCATTTTCCACAGCTTCAGTGTCTGGTTTTGGCTCAGGGGAGGCCTCAGGCAGTTTGTTTTTGTCTTTACTTGGTGTTTTATCAGGTCCTTTCGGAGTCTTTGAAACATTATCCAGTCCGTCCTCTTTCACTTGCACTACTGCTTCTCCTTCTTTGCTTTTACCCCGTAAATTTGCTTCTTCTTTTACATCTCCATTACCAGCAGTCTCAGATTTTTTCTCCATATTCCTGAATTGCTTCTGAATCTTTCTGGGACACCACACAAACTTATCCTTTGGCTCAAAGTTAAGGTAGGCAAAGCGCAAAAGGTCCTTGCGTTCCTGCTTGGCCCGGACAGCAAACAGGAAGTAGTCAAGCACGCTGCGTTTAACACTGCCAAGGGTCTTCTTTACTAAAGTCTCTTCCAGAAAGAATTGCACAAGTGGGGCCTGGTAGTGCTCAAATCCCAGCTCTCCGAGGCTCTTCAGGATGCGTGTGATGCGCAGGTTGTTGTGCATATTCCTGCAAGAGATGAAACAGTTGAGGCAGAAATTACAAACAAAAAAGTGAATATCTCCGACATTGCGTTACATGACAGTATTTGAATATTCACCGCTCCAGGTTTCCAAATCGCTCCTTCCAGTTTTCTGCTCGTTTCACTTCCCCCGTCTCTTTGTTGACCAAACGGATGCCATAGAAGCCCAACATGAGTTCATAGGACTCGACTAGTCTCCTTTTGGCGTCCTCATTATTCCTGAAGGCCTGGTGAGCATATAAATAGGAGGCAAAAATATAAAAAACAAAATGCAGGACATTTCCACAACTTCTGTGATTTCACGTAACATTTACATAAAAAAACAAAAAAAACCACAATATTAAATAAGTTAAGAGTATCCAAATGGTTGGGTAAAAACAAAACAAGTGATTATCTTTATATGCCTATATGTGTTGCCCAGATGAAAAGAGCTGAATGTTTTGGAACTAGGGGTGTTCTTTATATACCGTCTACAACAATTTTTTAATCGTTGTTTTAACGATATGTGAGCAGACAAAAACTCCTCCGCGCAATCACTGCGTCAAGCATGCAGTACACGTGTGCTAGAGTTAAACAGGCAATAGCGGCTAAAAAAAAATCAATGACTGAAGTTAAAAATGAGTGAACAAACAACGCAAGGAGATAAAACATGGACACCAACAGCTTTGCAGTCCAACGCTACATTGTTAAAATGAATCACTAGATGTGGATCAACCTTACTCATATGGAGCTGAATGTTGGTGTTAAAGACCATGTATTAACCATCGCAGGGAATATCAAGAATGTGAAAACCTCCAGGAGTCAGCTGTCCACGACAGGACTGAACCAGCCAAAGTACCATCACAAACACACGCTCGGGTAAAAACACCGCTATACTGATGATGACAGACTCAAGGCAACTAAGGGACGGCAAGGCAAGTTTATTTGTATAGCACTATCAGCAACAACAGCTACAAGAGAACTCAGGGCTAATATAGCTATTACTGACAGGAGTCGATGCCATCTTCAGGGCTAACCCCCTTCACTCTTCAGTCAAGTAAAACACAGAATATCATGGAATCTGCCAAAATGTTGATGCAATTTATAAAAATCAGGAGTTTCCCTAGCATTATAAGCGTCACTGCTCACAGCTTTACTTAAGCGAAAAGAACAGGCAAACTATTCTGCTATGTTTTGGTGTTTACAGGCACTGCCTCCGTCCTCTCTGCCTCTGTGTTTCAGCGAGGGCGGGGCTTAGCGCTCAACGTCTCCTCCACACACACACACACACAGTCATATCCAAGACGACGCGCTGGCAAGAGCTCATCACTTCAACAAATTCTCATTTGATCATCAGCCAGTCATCGGCAGATACAAGACGCAAACTCGTTGTGGACTGTGTGGGCGGAGTCAGATATTCTTCTTCTTAAAACAGAATTCATAGGGACCTATCCTTGGTCTCCGTGGAGTTACTTACACTGTACATTACTGCTAAATTACTGCTGACCCGCTGCTCTACTGCCATTCACCGGTGTAAGTACCAGATGTGCTCGGGTGGTCAGATCTGTTTGTATGATGACGTGGCTGATCTATCTGTTTGGGGTTTTTATTGCTTTGGCAATATGGCAACTAAGTACACACACACGTTAGCTTAACTTGATCGGCAGCTAACTTTAGGGTCGTAACATTAATTCACTGAAAACTATCCGCAAACACTACGACATAAAGCCAATCATCTGCCACATCATCATACAAACGTACAGCCAATCACTTTATGTGACATTACCAGCAGGTGCAGGCCCTTGAGCAGATCTGATACCTACACCGGCTTTCACACGCACACTTGCTTCTTCTCCTCCTTTTCTACCACACACGCTACGCTTACACATTTCATTATCGACAAAATCCCAGAAAATATGTAGATATTATTTTTTGTCAATATCACACACCCCTATCTAACACAAGTTTCCAAGACAATTAGGAAATATTCTGCTTTGACCCTATTTACTAGACATTACTCTCCACAATTAAGACTAGAGCTAATGATATGGGAAAAGATTTTCACCTGAAATTTCACCAGATATGCAGCTTTTAGTCTCTGCAGTAGGGCTGCAACTAACTTGACTTTTCTATCGATTATTAAAACGAATATTTGACTATTTGGATTATGAATCACAAAATCAGCTTTTAAATTTAGCTTGAGGTTGTTTAAGGTTGTTTTTAATTAGCTAATTAACAAAATAAATGCTCAAAAATGCACATTTAAATGAACATTTCTACTGTAGCAACAGAATGTTTCACTGAAATAAGGTCAAGGAAATAACACAGAAATAACTTTCATCTGTGAGCTGATCTGCTGTTAACAAGGCATATGATTTACGTAGTGACAGAGCAGCTTACATGCCGGTACTGCAGCACACCGGCCCGTTAATTTACAATATTATTAGACAAAGAAAGGAATGACCTAATGTATTACATTTGCTGAATGTACAACTGGGGGAAATAATAACCATTTGTTCCCCCACGAAGTTTATAAAAGGTTCTAATAACAAAACCCTGTGATTTTTTTTAAAGAATTAGCCACCACCTCAAATTAGGACGGAGATCTGATCAACAGGATTGTTGTGTATAATAATTATTTGCTACTCTCACTGCCATTAAATATACGTATAGAAAGCCTTACAGCTCATAACATGAAGTAACATGGTTTTTAACATTAAGGTAGCTTGTTTGCTAACTAGCTTATTAGATGAGTTCATCATCGAGAGAGCTAACGTTACGTCCTTATATTATAGTATTATTGTAATTTTTATATACTTGTAAATTTTTGAGCTCCTTACTTTTTATATATTTATGTTCATGTGTACTGTAAGCACCAATTTATACCAAGGCAAATTCCTCGTATGTGAAAATGTACCAGGCAATAAAACCGATTTTGATTCTTCATCTTCAGACATTCATAAATGGTGTACTTCCATGCCAGGAAAGATCAGCTGTGCAGATGCGGCAGTTCAGAACCCGTATGGCTGAGTTGAGAGTGAAATGCTCCCAAACTTTGGAAGAATTAGGTTAATTTTACTGTTCAGTTCACTACAGTATGCTGACTGTGTCACTACGGCCCAATGACGTGATGAACTAATGGATAATTAAATTTGTTGGAAACTAATTTCATTGATTCTTTTGGACTATGTCAATTATTCAGTGTTTTACACCACTAGACCACTACAATACCAATGCTTTCAATTTATCACTCAAGCAATGACTGATGTGATTTTTTCAGAAACTATGGCAGCTTTTCCAATTTTTGGGTTAAGTCAAATGGCGTTTGGAGCCCAATATGAGGCATTTCTAGCCAAAAGCATCTGAAATACACATTCAACTGATTGGATGACAATAGATTCTGTACGACTGCTGCGTAAATGGTTAAATAAATTATCTTTTATTTTGCTTTATGCTGTTCCAGAAACTACAAGCCAAATTCTGCACAAAACTGTTTAGTAGAGTGTTCATTTAAAGACCTAATACTTATGATGTACTTACCTCAATTTCCTTCTTGGTGAGTTCTGAAGCCATGTAATTAACCCCGGCTCTCGCAGTGGAAACAGCCTCAGAATGGTGGAGGAGTGAGAAGAGAAACAACATAAAACCAATGCAATGAAACCATATACTAATTCAATAAAGATTACGCCAGCCCTCCCTGCAACTGTTTGTAACCACAACATAAAACATCCTTTTGGTTCTTCATCCCATAAAAACACCACATACAACCCCTAAGATTTTACAGTATCCATCTCTCTAGAAAACTGACTTGAATCAGCAAATAAAGCTGTCAACATTGTCAATATGACATCCGTCTGGGTATCACTGGAATTTAGTGTCAACTTAATCATTGTTTCTCTTTTGTCCAATGTGTTTAAGTGGCTGAGACGAGATTAGGCAGATGGAAAGTAAACAACATCGTTTGGGGGTTCATTTCTACATTTTTAAAAGTTAAAATGTGGAAAGAGAATTGGTAATTTTATTAGTTTATTAAACCAGTACCATGAGAAGTGTAATTTTTTACCCTGATATTTTTCCTTGGAAAAAGGAGCTTTAGAAGGATACTTACAGTGAATGAATTTGTGCTATTCAAAACTACATTTCCTATGACTAAAAGTGCTTTAAAAGCAGGCCTAGTAAACTACTGACTTTTCTTGTTTAGCAGTGCTTTTCATTTAAGCAGGCAATGGTGAGCAGATATTAGCATTGCGGCTAATCTTCACACATTTTGCTAATTAAGAGCAACTCGTGAGGACCACCAGAATAATGGTGCTTTCAGACCAAAAGCGAAGCGAGCGTTTGGGGCTGTGAGTTTACATACAAAGTCAATGCAAAGACGCGTAGAGCCGCGATTTCCTGTCGGGCGGCACAAAGCGACGCGAAGGGGGCGGTGCCAGAGACGTTAAGGCAACGCGCAGGAATATTTTCAACTCAAGCAAGAAATTTGCATGACACTGAGTCGCGATAGCCTATCAACCTTGAGATTAACCGTACATCACAGATGGCTTCACAGCATTGTGTGGAGTGGGCCCGGCAGAGTGGGGGGTTGAAAATCTGCTGGCTGGCGGAGAGGATCAGGGAGCAGTGCTCCAGCTTTTGGACAAATAAACACCTGTAGCCAGACTGGATTATGCTCTAACAACTATGCCGTTTGCTCGCGGGAGGAGCTCGGAGTAAACTGCTTTTATTAAATAAGCTTTTTACTTTAGTTTATAGGATTACAACGTTGATTTATCTTCACTGGAGCTTCTCAGCAGCTAGATTCCATGCACATCCGATTCCAGTGTTGTTAGCGTCGTTAAAAACCGGACAAAACTGGACATTGCTGGGAGAAAAGAAAGCAAGGAGGTTGAACTACCTAGTGAGTTCAGAAAACATGTGTCTGTAACTTTATTCCAGCTATCGTTGTACCAAGTTAGCATAGCAAAGGCCTGGTTGATCCGAACTCCATTCAGAAAACAAACATTTTAGAAGTTGTTGTCCTGCTGTCATGCTGGCAGACCTGACAAAGCATGAATTCATATGTTTAACAAATCTGCATCATATTGTAGTTATTTCGGCATCAGTTTGATCCGTTTATTGCTATTTAATCACAGCAAAATGTTTACTTTGGGTTCATACAGCTGTAGTAATGGCGAGTTGTTGTGTTTATTCGTGTTATCGCGTTGTGTGTGAACACTCAGCAGATGTCCTGCGATAAAAACCCTGCGAGGAGGGTGTCGCGCGGGTTAAATTCACATTTGGTCTGAATGCCGCATAAGAGGAAATTCGCTTTGTAACCTCCCACTGGACTCAGCCAAAACACACACCACAAGCCCCAAGCAACACATACCACTGAATGTATGAGTGAACTCTCTCCAGTCTTTTGTAGTCATTTTTCCAATCCCTAAGAAATGATTCAATGAAGACCTCTGTGCCAAATGATAAAGAAAGCATTAAGTCATTACACACAGACAGTCCCAAACACTTAAAATATCTTGTAATAAATTCTAAATTGGTTACCATCGGGAGCGGAGGGAAATTTATTGAGATAAAACTGCAAATTGTTCATTTTGTCTTCTGAGCACTCTTCATCTGTTAGATTCTTTAAAACAAAACAAAAACTCAAGATAATTAGACCTCTCTTAGTAGTGACTTTTCTGTTGTTGTGTTAATTTAGCTGTTACTTACTGGATATCCTCTTCTGTAGTTCTGCATGTCCTTTGCTGCCCTCATGTTTCTGGACGGATTATGCCACTGCAAATAAAAGTGAAAGTGAAATGAACCTGCATCAATTGTTTTATGCATCGCGGGGGAGTCGATGCATCCTAATTTACTATACAACGACAAGTCGTGTTATCATTAATACCGATGCCACGATTTTTAATGTTTCTAATGGCTGCAGAATGCTGGCATGACGTTATCCGAGTTGACATTTGTAAGGCCAAGCTAATCCATTTCCTGCTCCCGCAAAAGGAAGAATGAGTAGGAAAAACACTTAATTAAAAATGTTCATTTTAACTATGAATTACAAATTATGTAGAGTAATAAATGTAAGCAGTTTATGTTTTAAACTTACCCCTAGCCCCTTATAAGTTACCCGGGCCCCTAAAAATTAAGATAACGTCGGCGGCTAGCTAGGCTAGTTAGCAAGCCTGCAGTAGAGACATAACGCCATCATTAGCTTTCCAGTCATGGCTATAATAGCAAACGCCTGGCCGGGTGCAAAAACAATGAGTTACAAGTTAACATATCCCACGCCATGACATGATTCAGATGAGTTATGGTTTTGGCTGAGTAATAATGAAAGCGCGTAACTTACCGAACTCAAAGTCCAGCCAGACTTGTTTTTGTCTTGACATGACCGACGGGTTTGGCTCTCTCCGGCCGGGTCGTCTCCATCACTCTCTGTGTCCCAGGTCGAGTCGTAATCGCAAACACAGTCGTCCTCCATTATTAAAATGACTAGCTAAAGCTAAATAAATGTGTAACTTGGTTCAGTGCTAGAAACGGCCACGAATCAAGTCACAGTTGCATGTTCAGCTTAGACGGGGACAGCCCTGACCAACCGTCTTTTCCAGTCTACCATGTCAGACAGCGGCACCGATGGCGGCTGCAGTACTGATGCTGCCTTTAGGTGCTCCCCCCACGTAGCATTAAACCAACTTCACATTTCTTGACACACATTTCCGTTTGATATTACTTAAACAAAGTTAGTCTTTAAAAACACCTTTTTTTGGAGGGGGGTGTACGTTTCAGAGTAAAAAGCAAACAAAACATACATCAGTTATGTTGAGTTGCAGCCTCACTGGATCGCAATGATGCAGTAACAGTTTAAGATAAGGAAGAAAATCAAGGTATCATCAATTCATCGTCAGTTGACCTCCGGATTCTCATATATTTCACTCCAATGTGGTGTTTGGCAATTGGCATTTAATGAGGTTGTAAACATGCTTTCAAATAAAGCGCTCGATTTCCCGACATTGCATGAAGGCAGCTCACTTGCTGCGCTGGTTGAAGGTGATAACCAGCTAATATGAGTCAGAAAGCTTATTTTAGGTACAGGAAAACTCTTTCAATTGACTGTTATATAACGAAAAACAAAAGTAACGCAATAATAGATGTTTTGATAAACTAATTCATTACAAATACACAAACGTAACAAGAGAAATATTTTATTTACAAATGTGTAGGAATGAATATTTATATAGTAGGAATTATTTAAAGAGCAAAGTACAACTTAGGAACGTTTTTTTTGTATTGTATAGTAAAGTATAGTGCGTTTGTTTTCATTAAAGAGAGAGAAGTAACTGAGGCTGCCTAATCCACAGAACTGTGGGTAGTTCTCCAAGATGTTTGGGCCAACCCATACCTGCAGAGTCCCTCCAAAAATTATATGCAAATGGAGTTAGAAGAATATATGCTGTTTAGAGGCAAAGGGTGGTCACACCAAATATTGATTTAATTTTCGATTTTCTTCTGTTCACTCACTTTGCCTTTTTTAATTGATGAATATAATCTATTAACATGTCTATTTTTGAAAGCATGCTTACTTTACAGCATTTTCCCCACACCTGCCTAAAACCTTTGCACAGTACTGTATATCTATAAAATATTTTTATTGATATGTCTATCTGACTAAAATTTGTAGACCAGATGGCCAATGGCCTACTGCTTTTTGATTTTGATGATGATCCAGACATCTGTCAATATTTGAACATTTTAATCATATAGGTCTAAATATTACAGGAAAGTCAGAAATCTAGCAACTCTGCTGCTAAATCACTGTATTTACATATCTGTGGGGTTATTTTTGGTTTGGGATAAGGTGACAAGAGTGCACATACACATAAACGATAATGAGATAATGTTTATGACAACACAGATCACATTGAAAACATTGCAGAAAACCTGGGCATTAAGAGGCAATTTAAAATATTTAACATACCATTAATGGGGAAATATGCTGATGCATGTAGGCCTTTTGGCAACTATGTTGATGAAAACGAAAACAAAACATTAAAACACAAATAGATGGTAAGCATGTAAAGAGAGCGAAACAGCAGAAGAATCAAATCAATTATAAAATTGATACAATATAAAATAAAATTAGAAAATGTCAGAAAATAGTGAAAAATCCCCTTTATAATTAAATTGTTTTGCATGATTAAATTGTTCAGCACAAAACCCAAAGATAGTCATTTTATTGTCACATGAGACAAAGTAAAGCAGCAAATTCTGTAGCAGGAGAAACTTAAACAAGAGAATGTATGACCATTTTGCTTGAAAAATTACCTCAACAAGAAATTAAAATAGTTGCTTATACATTTCTGTGGATCAACCAGTCAATTGATCCACTTATCATTTGAGATTGGTGTTCAATAGTGGCAGGGTTGAAAAAAATATATGGACTGGGAAAGTTACATTTAAAATTCCTTATGCCCTGATGTTTATACCCCAAATGATAAATATATATGGATTTTTGTTGAGGCTTTCGTAAAAGCAAAGGGACATGCATGAGCAACATTTAAAAACAGATCATACTCAATACTACAAAATTTTAACATCATAATAAAATAATATTAATTTAACACAAGTGAACACTGTGACACAAGAATGTCTGTATATTCTCAAAAAACCATCTAACTGTATGTCATTAGCATAAGGCAGCATTTCTTTAGAAACACTGCATCTATTCAGACAAACTCACAGTTCAGTTTATGTAGCAATGCTGTGTCTCACACATGTGCAATGTCTTTACAGTGTTACTGTATCATAAGTCAGTTTTCATATTGTACCAGCAGCACATATAGAATGAGTCAAAGCTGTGAAAATGTAATTGTATCATGATGTTCATCTTTTCAGTAACTGGACATATGAATTTATACATGGGGATATTTCCCTATAAGATGGTATAAATAGAATCGTGTATTATCACAGGGGATTGAATGTTTGAATGGTTGCTGGTGTGGGTATCTATTTCTGGTTTTAGTTACTGTGGAAACCAGAGGGCTCTGCAGGCATCCAGTATTTGCTGTTGCTATTTAGTGCCTCTGCTGAAATGGTTTCCCTATGTCCTTATTATCAGTGAGTTCACTACAGATGGAAAGCTTTGTTAATATGCATAGACATTATAATAATTGTGAAGACCCAGTCTGGCTAGGAGATTTGACAGAAATTTAGGGTGTAGTTTACAACTCTACCTCCCTATTATAGGTGAGTTTCCTGCTTCCTTGTATCCCTACAGGACAGGAGCTTGTTGGATGGAGTCGAGGGTCATCTGCGTTGCAGCAACTATTGGTATATTCATGGCTCAGTTTGTGTCTAAAGTCATGATTCTATGGGGGGTGTTGAACTCCTAATTAAGGCTTGGACCCCCCCAAAAAGAGGCATAAAAACCAACAGTTCAGGGGGTCTTTCTTACCTGAAACTGTAACTATTACAATATATTTCCGATACTCATGCCTTATATTCCAGAATCTTGAAGTATGATTTCTGACACCCCTAAGATGTTGCTTCACTCGCAGCTGCAGTTGCCCCAGTCCAGTCCTCCACACGCTGGTGGAGACACTGTAAGTTAATGTCAGTTAGCTATCTAGCTTCTTTAATACACTTAACTTTCCTACCTTCAGAGTTTCGTAATTAGCATTTTTATTTTACTTTAAATGAGCTATGTGATGTTAGCTAGCTGATAGCCTACCCTTTCATTTCATTACCACTATATCTTTTCATGTTTTATGTAGACCTAATTGTTAGCCAACACTGGTGTTTAGGCATGAGCAGTGAAAATGAGGATTAGTTATTGTAGATACACATTTTGACATCAATGTAAAGTTTATTATTTCATTTTAAGTATTTTGTGAGTCTTATACAATAAGCATAATATTTGTTTTCACTCTGGAATTCAGGCGTTTTACCTGACTTGGTAAATGTTAAATCCAGGTTTGTTATTTCAAAAATATTCAGTTTTATTTATATAGTGCCAATTCATAACAAAAGGCATCTCATTGCACTTTTTATATACAGCAGATCTAGACAGTACAGTACAGTACTGTTTAATATTATTTACAGAGACCCAAAAATTCCCAATTCCCCAACATTGTATGACTACTGCTTAATTGAACGCAGATTACTTTTCCTTCACAGTCAACATGAGCAGGAGGGATGGAGATATTTGCCAAAAAAAGTTGAAACTTAAAACTTGAAATGATAAAGATTAGGAATTAGATATGATAATGCAGACTGTATTTTATGATAGTGTCTTTGGTTCCGGTTCAACATTTTGTGGGTCTGTTTTGAGCAGTCATGATGGTCTGCTGTTGTGTGTCTGACTATCTGGCAGCTTTGGTGTAGAATAGTGACCTCTGACTACAAAAGTTGTGGTGTGGTATGGGGCACCCCTGAACTGGTGCAATGAATTTGATTTATCATCATCTACAGACACACATTAGTTAAATAAGCAAGGATATTGTAAGCACTGTAACATTTAAGTTCACTGAAGCCTGCTCCTGCTGGGTTTTCTTTTTGACCTGGGAAAAAAAAGTTGACCCCCCCCGGTTTCCACTGTATAATTCTCACCCTGTGTAAAGTTCCTCCTAAGTTCTTAGTAACTACTTGTTTAAGACTAATTTACTCATTCCAGACTAGCTAAAGACTTTTGTAAAGTATAAATTGTAGCGCTGTCCAATCAAAAGCAATCAACTATATAAACAGAAAGTCACTTTAGCATCATACACTGTACTCAACTCCAAATAACAGTTTGGGAGGCCGGACAACATATTAAATTTACCTGCCTTCTTTTAAGCTACTTTTAATTTTGAAGTGTTTCTACACTGTGGTTTTGATCTGTGGTAAGATCTGAGTAACCCTAATTTTATACTTCTTCACCACAGAACCTAACAGACATTATTTTGTCATTCAGTAGGCTAATTATTTGCATTTCATTGACCAATACATAGAAATATTTAACAGAAGTGTATAACTGCTTACTTCAATTATGACATCACTATGGTTATGATAAATGTGTTTTCACTGTGGGAAATGTGGTCACTGAATTACTTGTATGAGTTGTATGAAATGAGTATAAACAGCAACAGATATTGTCTGTGTAAAGCAACAATGTGAAATGTGATCAGTCATCATTTAAGGCCTCCTGCCTGTTTTAAATTAAGAAGTTTGTATGCTGAGTTGTTATTGAACAATATCATGAGATATATGAATACCTAACTCCTGCGTGATGTGGAGGTCGCTGTCATTTGGACTTTTCGCTTTTCTTACAATTCATGTAACATAAAGGACATAAGCATGAAGAAGGAAATAATGAAAAATATATTTGAGCATGTGAAGGTAGTTGGTGATGTTGGAAGATGACACACAAGGGCAGTCAGTCAGTCAGTGAGGGGATAATCCTTAGTCTTGCTTGTCCAATATTACGCTGTCTCACTGGATGTGTTTTCCTCTGTAGATGAAGGCAATTAAAACATCAGGGTCAGTGGAGTTATCATGACATTTCTGAGCACATCTCGTCCATGGTGGCTCAAAAGTTGAGACTGAAACTTACGTTTTGACGGTAAGCATCAGAAGCTGTTTGTTTTTGAAGCTGTATTAATTACAAATTTGTCTAAAGCAG